TATAGAAATGGTACATTTCATAAGTTTTCAATCCAAATGGTACCTGGTCTATAAGGATCATGACGAGTATCCTGCCAATCGACCTCATCTTCAGAGCTGTCACTGTCTTCAAAAGGATGTACCTTGCGGTAGTTCTCAAAAGATATGGACACTTGAGAAATAGAAACAAAAATGTATACGAGTTAACAGTTGTTAGAAGGGCACTGAGAAACAGAAAGATTCACCCTAACAAAGAAATCATGACTCATGATAGTAACCTTTGCTATCTCCATTGAACTTCTTTTCTTCACGTCGAAGCTGTGCATCAAATTCTCTATCAAATTCCATTTGCAGCATCTGTGCCAGCATCAAGTCACTGGAAGTATCAATATTCTCCCCACTGATAAATGATCCTTCAACCGCCCTGGATATGAGAGACCAAAAAAGAACACTTAGCGGGACAATTCAGCCCTTGGTACTCCAACTAAGAATATAGTACATTTTTAGCTGCCATATAATATACGTTACAGAGGAGGAAGTTGATTACTTTGTGTAATTAAAAAGGAAGGAGGTGGCTATGCAATTTCTTCATTTTAAAGGAGCCTGGCAGGACACTAAATAATTTCCACACAGTATACAACATGGAGTGTAGTAATTCTACTCCCTTCCTTTTGAATACAGCTCACTTCAAAGAAGGAAGCAATTCAGACTCTTTCAGGCACCTTGTGTAAGATGAGTCATTCCACTAGGCACCAACTTTTTTCCTCTCTCAAACCGGAAGAGAAAGCTATGGCAGCAGCAGGTAGGAAGGGTCGTAACTAGCTTTTTTACCCCAACAAAAAGACTTTGTCAAGCCCTAATACTGACTTTAGCTATTGCTACAATAGTTTCCCAAAAATCACACTCACCATCTGACTCTATGCATATGTACTCAGAAGTTCTACTTATGTAATATATACTTCCAAGTACAGGTGTGAAGAATTGCATCTGTAAAAAAAAAATACAGGATCCCACTAACAATTAACTAAGTCTGTAATAAGCATTCATAATGTAAGGATATTGAACTTACGATACCACTTCAGGAAAAGAAGAATTTTCTTCTTCTAACTGTAGCTCTTTAGCTAGCTGTTCACTCATGACATCAGCAAAGGAACATGATATTGTGGTGTTTTTAGGAGTTCCCCATGGACACTGCAATAAAAATAGATATCTTTTTGGCTATGGATAAGACAGATAATTTTTCTTTGCATAAAATCCTGATGTCACATTTCTTTGTATAGATACACGGAAATACACTGTGTAAAATGAATCCAGTCTTGTGAAGTCACAGAAGTGAGTCATACTACTTTTTATTTAAAGACTGAACAATGCCTTTAAAAAGTATACATAAAAATATATCAGCATTTAAAATGTAAGAGCTGTTTAAATATTTGCCTCTATAATCCACTCAATTTCTGTTTCAGATCTGAAATTGTCACTTTCTCCACTTAAATAACTGAATATGTCCAGGATAAGACAGTCTCCCCCTGTTTTTTCACTGATCATTGCCAACAGTGTTAGAAACCGAGATATGAAAACTAGGAACTAAATGACACCTTAAACCTAGGTTATGGGCACAACAATGGGATGTCTAGACACACTTTTTATAACAAGAATACAAAGCTGAAAATGAATGAACTGCAGCTAAAATATCATGTTCATTTTTCACATGATCTAGTACTTCCCCTGCTCACACCTTAATATCCTTAAGAGGGTCTCTTCTCCAGTCTTCAGAGAGTAACTGGAAGTGGGGAGGCAGAAAAAGGTCCTCCTTTCCTTCCATTCTGCAGTTTTAATCTGAAATCTCAGGCGCAGTAATGCGCCCAGAGCTCAGAAACTGCTCAAGCTAATGAAATTCCCTGTCGCAAAATGCGCTTAGTAAAATGGGAGTTTCAAACACTGAGTGCCAACTATGAACCATCCTACAAAATACCTACTGATAAAAATCAGAAGGGTTTGATTAGCTGACGAATATGTGTCCACAGTGATCAAAGATCCACATGACAGAGAAGAAATGCTTTTTACCATGCCAACGATAAAGGACCAAAGGTCTGGCTTACAAAGAACTCTTCTCTCAGAAATTCATGTTACATAACACTAAGGCTGATGTTGCTGTTCTGAACTAGAATGCAGCCTATCTGCTTCAGTTTACATTAGTGAGGTCATTGAGAGTTAGGAATTATTAAGAATTTGTAAAACAGCTGTTACTTTAAATGTTACAGCAGCACACCCATAAATCTAATTTATGAATGATGGACCCGTTAATGGTCTCTCTCAATGAATACCAGGTTTCAGAGCACTACAAATGAGTTACTTGGCTCTGAGCCCAGCACCATATCCATCTGTAGCCTCTTATCAGAAGACTGACAAACAGGCAAGCTTATCTGAGCATATACTCAAAATTGCTTAAATAAGTTATTACTCCAGATCATTACATTCTAACCTTGTTTTGGGGGGGTTTACGACCAGGTCCTTGAAACAATGAGAACCCTATACCTATTTGCCTCTATGCTGGCAAAGAGTATTATTATTTACTTTGCTCACTCAGCTAGGTCCCACCTACCACCTTTCTGCCACATAGCCTCCGGTGGCTATGAAATGGTTGTTCCCTCACCAGCCCCCAATTCTATCATCACAGGACCCCTTGGACCATTTACTCGTCTCTGCCAGCACAAGGTTGGCCTTCTGAATTAGAGCAACCCTGTGGGGCAGGCGGTGGAAATGAAAGGAGCCACTTCGGCCAATAAAACCCGCGCTCCCCCCTACCCGTCCCAGCCAGTGTGGCGGGAGAGGAGGCAAAGCCAAGGCCTTCTTCCCTGGAGGCCTGACGCCTCGTTTACACCCGCAAAAGGACGAGGCGGGCAGAATTACACGGAGTGAGTGGACTGTACCACTTCAGGTTCCGCGAGGGGAGGCAGCGTCGTTTTTCTTAACTGTCACCACAACATTCCCTGAGAGGAAACCAAGTGTGTGTGTGTGTGTGTGTGTGTGTGTGTGTGTGTGTGTGGAGAGAGAGAGAGAGAGAGAGAGAGAGAGGGAGGCGGGTGGGGGGAGATATTTCATTTTGTTTCCTCTCAGGTAATTACGCGACGAGGCCTCGCTTATCAATGGGGGGATCCTCCCCGCCTCCGTGCCTGATGCGACGACGGAGCCCATCCCGCCACCTCAGGCTCCTCCGCTGGCTCTCGTTCTGGGGGCGGCTGGATCAGGACCAGGCCTGAAGAAATTCCTCGGGCACGTCCGCCGCCCCCCGCCCCCCTCACCTTGCTTTGGGGCCAAGCTGGACTCGCGCTCGCCTCAGGAGCGGGGACGACAGCAGCGATTGCTCCGGGCTCCATGTTAGGCGTGCAAAGGAACGGAGATGGACGCCGAGAGAAGGAAGAGCAGCAACAGGGCAAGAGGGCGCCTGGCAGAAATAAAACTTCTTCCGGCTTCTTCTCCGCTCGCCTCAACTCCTCCCGCCCCTTCGCTGTCGGCGCTGGTTGCCTATTGGTTCGCTGAGTGCACGTCTCGGTGACGTCACTTCCCTTGGAATCTCCCCTGCCCTAAGAGGCTTTTGTGTTGCTGTTGGCGGCCGCTTCGCTTCCTGCTTTGTCGTACGGATAAAACCACTCCGTCCCTTTCATTCGTTTATGGCACGGTTTTCTCACAATGCCGTGAAAATAAACCACTGACCAAAAAACTAAATCAGCGCTGGAACCTACGCTTTTGAATAAATGGGAACACGAATGGCTCCTCAGCGATGACCTTTAAATCCATCTTCTCTTTCAGATGAGAAATGCCTGTCATTTGGGATTCGGCACCCCCACGACTCGGGTTTCTTTTTCAATCACAGTCTGCAGCTCTGGGGTTCACCATTGGGAAACATCATAACGAAGAGTTGCCCTTGTCCACTTCCTATAGATTTTTTAAAAAGTGTGCATGGAACGGTACAGAAATATTTGTGCCCAAGTTCAAGAGGGAGAAAAGGCAGTAAAAGGTGGGGGAGAAGTTGAGATGAGGGACCAGAACACACAGCACAGAAATAATCCAGCTCACTGTGGACAGGAAACAGCAGTGTTGTTCGGTCCTGTTTATTGAACAGGTGTGAATCCCTAGCAAAAGCACCCTTAAACTGAATGTACTGTACAGTATATGGACATTTGCGAATCAATCACGCAAGCACATAGAATTAGAACATAGGGCAGCACCCCATCTGGAAGATATGTGGAGCACTTTGCAGTTTTCATTGTATTTTTTTTTTAAGAAATAGACAATTTGTTGATTGCTAAATTATTGTTAACGTCAGTTTATTCGGGGTTATTTAAATAAATATATGGTACAATTATTCGTTTACACCAGTGGTTATGTGTTAGTTTCACATTATCCAAGTGCACCATAAAATGTACCAAAAGATAAAAAAATTGTAAGAGAAACCAAGGCACTTAAACTGCGCGTTTCTATGCTATCACTCCCTTGTGTTAGTCTGCTGAAGCAAAAACAACAAAGAATCTTGTAGCACTGAAAGGCTAAAAGCTTTATTGTGGCATAAGCACGCAAGACGATTAATCTTTACATGGATACTGGGTGGAGATGAGCAGCTTCCTTCTTTATAAAGTTTCTGATCCTTTGAAAGGAGTTTCCATGGCCGGGGCGAGCAAACCTAAGTCCATAATACATTTGTATACAGCCGTGCTTTCTCCGATTTAGGTCTTTAATCCTAAAAGATATTTGTTTTGTCCCGTTTGGAGTTCTTGCATTTTCTTCACTGCCGCCTCCAACGATAACCTTCTGCTCTGGAAATCTGAGGACAGGCGGCAAAAAACCCAACACTTAGGGAAAAAGAAAGGTGGAGTCTAAGCGACATCCCTCTCAGAAAAGACTAACCAGCCAGACGGTGTATAAGCGCATCATAAACGGGATTGAGGTCGCGTAGAGAGGAACCGGGAGAGCGGCGGCGCATTCTTTTCCTTCCGCCCTGGGAAACCGTTGTCCCTTTAAGAAGGCGGTTCCTGGGGCCCTTTTCTCCGCGCCCATTGGAGCAGACTCCAGAGCAACGTGTCTCTGTCATGGCAGCCGCATGCAGTCGCTCTTCCAGGCAGGTCGCAGCAGTCGGGAGAAAGTGCCTTTCTTCCCTTGTCCCCGGACTGGTGAAATGATTTGACAGATGTATTTAAAGAGACCTGCAACTGGTCTCGCCTTCTGTTTGTTCTACTTGTCTTCTTATTTCACCAACAAGGTGAGGCTGAGAGAGCTCTGCTGGTTTAAACTGCCCTTTATTTCGACTTTAAAATTTTCACAGGGTCGCAAGTTTTGGCTGGTCTGCTAGTTTTTATACCTCGGAAAATCGAACACACTGTTTGCCTTTTCTCTCCCCGCATCGGTGAGCTTGTGTTTCTCTGCGAGTCAATGAACAGCTGCTCATTGATTTTCAGTTTGTTTCGAAAACTGACTTTTCTCCTCGCAACGACTTGCAGCTACCGGAATCGACTTTCCTTTAGCCCGCTCTTAAACCCCACATGGGATGGGGGGAGGACGGAAGGGTCCTCACATTTATCCCTGGAAAGCAAGAGGTTAATGAATAAACTAAATCAATGGCGTTATATAGTTGCCTTAAGTGAGGATAAAATAGAAATACTTCCAGGGCTGTGTGAGAACTCTTAACAAAACTCAAAACAATTAAAAATCATGCACAAAAGGTCATATGGGGTTATCACATCCCACTCAGCCTTAAAGTATATACATACAGACAATAAAACATGCTCTCAAGCGATAAGAAAATTGTGGCAGTTTTATTTGTATTATCATTTGAAAGCACAATTTTTTTTGATAGTTTGTATACACAGCAAGTCTTAAATATTTAGGTTTAGGACTCTGGGTTTTAACTATTAAGAAAGAATTTACGGATTTATTCCATTTAAATGTGTTGGCTTTGCCACCCTGAAGTTAGGAGAAAGGAAAAAAACTAGACACATTTACTTGGGAGCAAGTCTCAATGAGGTACTTCAATACAAGCTTCAGACAATTTTGTTCCCTCTTCTGTGACAAGTGAAATGTGTAACCTTTCCAGGATCTACAGCCACTTCCAGACCTAATCTGTTGCTGCAAAATCAAGAAAAGTCTTTGCAGTTCCTTAAAGACTAAGGCTGCAATCCAAACCCTACTTACATTGGAGTAAGCCCCATTGAATTCAGTAGGACATACTTCTGAGTAGACATGGTTAGGATTGTTCTGTATTAACTTTTGTGGACTAGATCTGACAAAGTGAACTGTAGTTCAACAAAGTTTGTTTGGAACACAAATGCCTGACAGAACGTGTGTTCCTGCCTGCCCCCCCATCTGCTTGTGCCATGAGATCTTTAATAGAGACCATCTCCTTGAGCACCTTCCTTCATGGAGATGTGTTTTGTATGCACCAAGGAGAGGCCTCTTCTGTGGCAATACCACATATTTGGATCTGAGAGGTACCTGGCACTGACCGCCTTTTTGTGCCAAGTTAAAACATTTCTATTTGCTCAAGTATTTTAAAGAGTTATATTGCCTTAATCTGCTTTTAGTTTGTATAGTCTTGTTTTGCCCCGTAGTCTATAAATTGTTTGACAAATGTGTTATTGCATCTGTAGCTTTGATTAATTCTCATATTTAATGTATTCCGTTCTGGAATCCACTGAAGGACAGCTTAGAAACAGTTTACATAAATAAAATAAATTAGGCCATCTTGTATTTGTTAGTCTTTAAGGTGCTACAAGTCTTTTTAGCATCTTTCTAGCATCTGTTACCTTTAAAACAGAAAAGACGAGTCTTGCAACATCCTTTAGAAAAATCAGATTATAGGAACACAGGGATGGATGAGAAGTAACAGGCTGTGGTATTTTCAAGGCAGAAAGCAAATGAACAATGAAGTTCAAGGGGGAAAGTATGTAAGAATAGCATGTAATTTAATCAACCAAATTAAATTACTTGCTCTGTGTGTGTGTGTACTGTGTGTATATATATGTTGCTTTGGTTTGGTTTATGGTTAAGGCAGAACCGGCAAAGGTCATGAGAATCCTATGCAACAGGTAGCTTCTAAGGCTTTACTTTAAATCTTCTTCAGCTTACAACGTCTCCTTGCAACTCCTATGTTTGAATTACGGAAAAAATGTACATCTGATAAGCCAATGAGTTTGGTAGATTCTCTTACTTGAAGTGGTCACTTAGTTAATTCAAATTGCACTCATTAATAAGTGAGTTCTGTCCCAAGTAGCCTATTCAGGTCAGGGCTAGCTATGACTTGTTTCTTTTTCTTTTTATGGCTGGGTTCTGTTTCATTGCCTGATCCACTGCATCCATTGATTTCTGTTAAAATTACTTGAAAAGTAAGTAAGTGTGTGTGTTTATGTACTATCCTCTAACTTGGTGTTTTGTCTTCCAGTATGTTCTGTCTGTCCTGAAATTCACCTACCCTACTCTTTTTCAAGGGTAAGTATTTCAAAAGTGCATTAAAAATGACAGAATAAGTAGGTAGCTGTACCAGACAGAGGCTAATGTTGGTGTCTCATACAATTGCTGTTTATCCTCATCTGGGAAACTCCTATATGTTTTATTGTTACAACATGTTATTCACTTGTCCTAATTCTCAGCTCTCTGCTTCTGTGTCAAAAACTGCTATTTTTTCACCAGCCCCTCCCTGTAGCTGAGGGGGAAGGAATGTGCCATTTTCTAAGTTTTGATAACTTTCACTCCCAATTTCAAATGTTCAAGGGCTTCAAATATGTCAGATCCTATGGTCAGCCTACTTCCCACAAAACAGCAGAGGAAGGCAGTTTAACCAAAATCACAACGCTGATGGCAGAGTGCTCAAACTGTTCTGAGGGAGAGATTTGATTGGTGGTTTAAAATTGGCAGCTATGGAGGGAAAGGGGGGGCCAAGACCAAGATGGTGGGAAAGAGAGTTCTTATTTTCACAGTGGCTTTTGAAAGTCTCTGTCAAGTTACAACAGTTCTTAAGATTCTGTGTGACAAACCCAGACAAAACAAATGTAAGCTGATGATTATTTGAGTGAGGATTATCTAATTATGCATGAGGTAAAAAAGTGAATAGAGAGAAATGTATCTCCAGTAAGACTAGAAAATGGGATCACTCAGTTAAGCTGATGGGCAGTAGACTAGATTGACCATGTTGTGTGGGGGAGCTGACATAATGCCCTCCAGATGCTGTTGGACAACAACTCCCATTATGACTGTTGCCCTTGTCGCTTGGGCCATATGGAAGTCCAACAACATCTGGAGGGCATGATATTGACGACCCCTGCTGAAGTGGCTTGCTTTGGGCCACCCAACAAGTTCATAGCAAGACTCATAGCTTATACAGTGGTACCTTAGGTTAAGTACTTAATTCGTTCCGGAGGTCCGTTCTTAACTTGAAACTGTTCTTAACCTGAAGCACCACTTTAGCTAATGGGGCCTCCCGCTGCCGCCGGCACCACCGGAACCTGATTTCTCTTCTTATCCTGAAGCAAAGTTCTTAACCTGAAGCACTATTTCTGGGTTAGCGGAGTGTGTAACCTGAAGCGTATGTAACCTGAAGCGTATGTAACCCGAGGTACCACTGTACAGCTTACCTGACACTAATTCATATAATATTCTTTTAAATACACACACATATATCTATATCAATGTGCATCCTAATCAATATTTGCATTGCATATGTTGGATATACAAACTAGCTTCAGTGTCACTTCTGCAAATGGCCTTAGAGAAGGAGAAGTTGGCTTAAGCTCTGTTCCCTGTGGCCTCAGCAGGTGGAATCTTTGATTTCAGAATTTGGCAGTGTAAAAGCTTTGTGGTTTTGCTCCACTTAAGCAGCTGATGCTTTAACTACAGGTGCGGGTGCATCTACTGGCTCTGCAGCAGCCCAAGTTGCCTGTTAGGAATATAATTTGTTGTTTTGTTCCATCATCATAATTTTATTTTGTTGCTCTTTATACTGCCAGTCCAATGACTGAAGGCAGCATATGATCAGACTGTGTCACTCATGGAAGAAGCCTCCACTGTGAGTAATAATTGACTTTGGTTAATTGTTTAGAAACAGAACATTGTACGTGTTTCAATTGCAGCTGGCAGACACTAGTTGGTGGATTTCTCCTACACATTTCCTGGAAGATTGGCTGGACTGAGATCAGCAGCAGTTCAAGGTACAATGAAATTGCAGTGTAAGAATATACAGACGGTATTCCAATTAATATTCACTGGAATATGTGTCATCTTATTTCAGATACTTGGCTGTGGTTTTTACCCCATAATGTTGCAAGAACTGTGTAGTGGTAAAATAATAATAAACATGCGCACACTTTTTTCTGTATGTAACTGGAGTGTTTTCTTTATGCTTTCATATAACTTTGCGCATATACTCATGAGATTAAAACCATAGGATAGGCCACAGTTTCATCAAGTGTCTGTGCACAAGTGGCTTTTCTCTTCTAGCCCCGTGTCCCATTCTTATATAATTAGCATGGTCAAATGAAGATACTTCCCAACTCTATAGGGCATTTTAGATTGCATACAATCTAGAACTGAGAAATCTGCTGTTTGCATCTTAGTATGCAAGATCACTTACTTACTGTTTGACTGTCTAGCCCAGGCATCCCCAAACTCAGCCCTTCAGATGTTTTTTAGGACTACAACTCCCATCATCCCTAGCTAACAAGACCAGTAGTCAGGGATGATAGGAACTGTAGTCCTAAAACATCTGGACGGCTGAGTTTGGGGGTGCCTGGTCTTGCCCAATTATGAACTGTTTGGGATACAGTTTTAGGAATAGCTGATTTATTCCGTGGAAATCTAGTCTGATGTTTAAATTGAACACATTAAAAAAACACATTAAAAAAACCAACTCTCATGAATTTGAGAGGCAAAAACCTACAGAAAAAAATACTTCATTTTGTCCAGGGTTATGTACGTATATAAGAAGAGCCCCCCCCCCGGATCAGGCCAGTGGCCCATGTAACCCACTATCCCAGTGACTAACTAGGTACCTATGGGAAGTGTGTGAGCAGGACCTGAGTCCCCCACTGCTCTTTCCTCTCCCAGCAACTGGTGTGCAGAGGCATAATGCTTCTGGAGGTGGAAACAGAACATAGTCATCCTGCCTAGTAACCATTGTTAGCCTTCCCCGCTATGAATTTGTCTAATCCTCTTGTGAAGACATCCAAGTTGGTGACCATCACTTTCTCTTGTGGAAGTTGGTTCCTGTGCAGTGCGAGAAGAAGTATTTCCTTTTGTCTGTTCTGACTCTTCCAGCATTCAACTTCTTTGGATGCCCCTGTGTTCTAGTATTCTGAAGGAGGGAGAAAAACCTCCCTCTCCACTTTCTTCTTTCCATGCATAATTTTACACACCTCTATCATGTCCTCCCCTAGAAGAATAGTGACCTGTGACATAAAGATCTGTGCTTGGAGAAATTCATTCCAAGCAACATCAGTAGTACTGTTCTTCCATTTGTAGAATGGCTGCACATCAGGGGGACAGATATCTGATAGAGCTCCAGGGTGGCATTCTGTGATAGCAAGGGAACATTGTGGTAAGGGTGGCTTAAATATTGTTCTCGTCACCCTGATGCTTTCTGTTAAAAACCAAAGCGCTGTTGTCTCCTAACTTGGTTAAATATTGTTCTGCTTTGGAGCTAAAAACTTCACTCCACTAGATGTCAGTCTAAGCAAGGTAATCCTAACACAGAGACTTTCCTTCTCCCTGCTCTCCTTAAATAAAAGATGGGATGCAAAGGATGGCATGCTGCAGAAGACCTAAAGATAAAAGGGGAGGAGTGTAAGGAAAGAGGCACTCCTTAGGGTACCCAGAACTCAAGCAATTTAAAGCTTGGACATGGAAAGAAGTACGCAGACAGCATGGATGAGGCAGAATAGGAAGTCTGTTTTCAAGAGGCATGCTTCAGAATTCTGCACTGGCTGCAGCTTCTACCCTTTCTTCAAATGCAGCTTCATGCAGAATGTGTTACATTAGGCAAGGGGTCCCCAACATGGGCATAAAGGTAAAGGTACCCCTGCCCGTACGGGCCAGTCGTGTCCGACTCTAGGGTTGTGCGCCCACCTCACTTAAGAGGCCGGGGGCCAGCGCTGTCCGGAGACACTTCCGGGTCACGTGGCCAGCGTGATGAAGCTGCTCTGGCGAGCCAGCACCAGCGCAGCGCACGGAAACGCCGTTTACCTTCCCGCTATACCTTCCCACCTATTTATCTACTTGCACTTAAGGGTGCTTTCGAACTGCTAGGTGGGCAGGAGCTGGGACCGAAAGACGGGAGCTCACCCCGCCGTGGGGATTCGAACCGCCGACCATGCAATCGGCAAGCCCTAGGCACTGAGGTTTTACCCACAGCGCCACCCGCGTGGGCATGGGCATAGCCAGGATTTATTTTGCGGGGACAGGCTTTACATTGGGGTGGGGCAGAACCAAATTATCTGTGATGAAATTAGTCTGTTAAGTATTTTTATTTATTTACTTGATTTGGGGTGGTAGCTGCCTCTGGCTATGCCCATGGTCACCAACCTTGTATTTGATCTTTGTGTTTGAGCTTTTAATACATATTCCGTACAACATGGAAGATTACTACCTTGTAGAAATATCAGCACTGGGATGTCTTAAGATTTTGATCAGCAACAATGATGGAAGACTCAGGCTGTGTGCAAGTCATGAGTTCCTCACTCTGTTCAGTGAGCCACAGAATAAATGAGATTTTGGCTGTTGGCTTCCTTGGTGCCTACAGTTCACTTCAGTCTCATTTGCAGAAATACTGAGTATCATCAACCCCAACAGATTTCAAAGTGGGTGGGGTGACTCATATTGTACTTGTGTCTCTGTTTGCAGATGGAAAGATATAGGAGCTGCTTCTAACTCCTTCAGAAATCTAGATCTGAAAGTAGGCTGTTTGTGTCCACATAATTCTCCAAGAACCTCTGCATTTTGTGTCTAGAATGAACAAACTGTGCCTTGGGTGATGAGTGCATCCACACAACAACCTTAACATGCCTATTTTTCCATCAACAAAGGAAGCCTTAGGATGAGAGGGGTATTTAGATTTTGAGTGTGTGCTGAAATTTCTCTGATTGAGATCTTTTAACTCCTTCACAGAAGAGTTATATGCAATGCTCTTTGGGTAGATGCCATGATGATCAATCTAGATTTGTAGCGTAGGCATGCCTTGTGATCACCAAGTTACCATTTCGATTCATGGAATACTGCATATTTCTTTCGTACTAGTCAAGGAATGCACAACACAGTGCTCTCTGCAAAGTCATCATAGCAGATTCTGAGCCTGACTGTTGTATGGCTTGGCATATTAGAGTGATGACTGCTGTTGAAGCATTTCCCGTAGTGCTAGACATTCTTTTCCAGCCCTGAAAAAGAATCCCTCTTGGCAGGATTGAGTTCTGAAGTTCCATTGTGGGAACGGTTCTAATGGCCTTTTCCATTGCATTTTAGATGGTCACATTGGACATGCAAACATTTTAGGGATTCCTGAGACTTCACATTGTGGTCAGTGATCTCTGTTTTCCACATGGAGACCTCATTCTCAAGCTTTAGGGCTTTATTTTTCCACTGCTGCTTCAGTTCAAATGACATTGCTTGTTTTAAGGAGGCATCTGATTTGAAGTTACCAGCAAAATAATTATAGTAGTTGTCAGTTTGATCCAGATAAGATTTGAGCCTGGTGTGAGGAAAGAGAATTTATGTTGTATGAGCAGAAGTTGGATTGAATTCAACTAACTCATTGGTTGAGCAGAACAACATACTTAAAAACAGAATCAGGAGATTACACTGTAGAGGCATGTCATCATTGCAGCTACTCAGAAGAGCTAACCCAATAAGGATACTTGGATACACTCAAGCCAAACAGGTAGAAAATCACCACAGATGTGCATCTTTGCAGCATGGGAATGGTCAGATACAATGCCAAGAGATGTACCCTAACTTGCAGAGCTTCCAACTTCCTTCATGGCTCTTAATTACACCTGGTCCAGGTCCATTTCCCTTTGTTTAGTTGGGGAAAATGTTTTGGGTAGATGTCTTTTGATATCGTTTGTATACAGAATCTGGCATAGTCGTAACTGTATGCGCCATTTGTTTTTACAGATCTGAAGTGCTGTCATGGCTTCCAGCTTCTGCACTCTTTGTGGGCATTATTTATGCAGGTTCCAGGGCACTGTCCAGACTGGTAAGATACAGGCAAATGGAAACTAACATGCTTTTTCATTTGTTGGTGTTAATGTTTTACTCCAGATAGCATACTAAGGTTAAAGTCATTGGCCTAACTGAGGTTAAAGTCATTTGTGAAAACACTAACTGCTGTTTGGAAGCTGTAAGCATCCTCTGGAGCAAGTGTCGGGAAAGTGGGGGAGGAGAAGGGGCAAATCCCGTTGCACAAGTAGAAGTCCTTGTGGTGACTGGATGGTTGCTTTGCAAGCAATTCCCTAATTTTCAGCTTTGTGTGTTATATTGTCCCTATATGTGCAGTGGTGACAATAATAATAATAATAATAATAATAATTTATTATTTGTATCCCGCCCATCTGGCTGGGTTTCCCCAGCCACTCTGGGTGGCTTCCAACAAAGATAAAAAATACACTAAAATGTCACATATTAAAAACTTCCCTGAACAGGGCTGCCTTCAGATGTCTTCTGAATGTCAGGTAGTTGTTTATCGCTTTGACATCTGATGGGAGGGCGTTCCACAGGACGGGCGCCACTACCGAGAAGGCCCTCTGCCTGGTTCCCTGTAACTTGGCCTCTCGCAGTGAGGGAACCGCCAGAAGGCCCTCGGAACTGGACCTCAGTGTCCGGGCAGAACGATGGGGGTGGAGACGCTCCTTCAGATATACTGGACCAAGGCCGTTTAGGGCTTTAAAGGTCAGCACCAACACTTTGAATTGTGCTCGGAAACTTACTGGGAGCCAATGTAGGTCTTTCAAGACCGGTGTTATATGGTCTCGGCGGCCGCTCCCAGTCACCAGTCTAGCTGCCGCATTCTGGATTAGTTGTAGTTTCCGGGTCACCTTCAAAGGTAGCCCCACGTAGAGCGCATTGCAGTAGTCCAAGCGGGAGATAACCAGAGCATGCACCACTCTGGCGAGACAGTCTGCAGGCAGATAGGGTCTCAGCCTACGTACCAGATGGAGCTGGTAAACAGCTGCCCTGGATACAGATTTGACCTGCGCCTCCATGGACAGCTGTGAGTCCAAAATGACTCCCAGGCTGCGCACCTGGTCCTTCAGGGGCACAGTTACCCCATTCAGGACCAGGGAATCCTCCACACCTGCCCGCCTCCTGTCCCCCAAAAACAGTACTTCTGTCTTGTCAGGATTCAACCTCAATCTGTTAGCCGCCATCCATCCTCCAACCGCCTCCAGGCACTCACACAGGACCTTCACCGCCTTCACTGGTTCTGATTTAAAAGAGAGGTAGAGCTGGGTATCATCCGCATACTGATGAACACCCAGCCCAAACCTCCTGATGATCTCTCCCAGTGGCTGCATGTAATAACGACCACTATTGCAAATATGATGCATGAACAGTATCAACAAGACTGAAATGTATATCTCCAGCTGTATATAATGCAAAACTGATAATTAATGGTGAAAGAGGTTATATATATATATATTTTAAATAAGCTGCCTGGTCAGTCAATATAGAGATGACAAATGGGTATAATGAGCTCCAACAGCAAAATAGCTAAGAATTCTCAGCACAAAACAAGTCACCCTTAACAGGAGCCAGAGTTCATTCCCTTCCTCTCTTTCCTTTTGCCCTGGGAATTAGCACATGAAGCACTTACATCCTCTGATAAGGCAACTGGGGAAGTTTAGTCTATGTGACTCTTCCTTTCTCTGTTGACTTACATCCCATAATCTCCCCCCACACTTTTTTCTGTTACTCCCGCCTCTTCAGAATCTACTGTTATGATGAGGCCTCAGCTCATTGTACATGAATATGAAATATGCTCCATTTTGACACATGAAATAGATAGGAGCATAAAATGCCTTTTCATTGTTGTTAACATGATTCCTAAATTAGTGCTCAAATGTCTATTGCCCCTACTGTGGTGCATAATATAACGACATATAGATTCATTTCCAAATCAGTCGAGCTGGTTTTAATTATGATGTTTGCTTTGTCCCTTTGTTTGGTGAGTAATTCTGCACTGGATGAAGGCCAGTGCGGACAAGTAGTGGGGAGACCCGGCTTCAGATACTTGCTCTTCCCCAAACTCAGTCTCAGTTCCTCATCTATAAAATGGCAGTGTTAAAATGGGATTGTGAAAACACTTGAAATGGGGTTTTTTTTCTGCACTTGAAATGCAATCTACACAGTGGCTGTAGAAATGGGTCTTACTTAGCTGTGAGGGCATGTGCCTGCCTATTTCATCTAAGAATTTACATTTCAAACTGAAATGAGAATTTCTGGAACAACAACTGGCTGAGATGTGTTCGTGAGATAGTGGAATTGAGGAGATGGCAATTTGCTTATGCTGGCTGGACCAACGTACTGAGCTTCCTTTTATAAAGACTAAAGCTCCTAAAAAATATCATCAAAGACAATAGACATCTGGCGAAGGTTAGCTGAGCTGGGCAATCTGGAGCCACTGTTGGCAGCAAAACACATTTCTCTTGGCTCTAGAAAGAGCCAATAGCATAAGGGAGGGGAAGGGGTGTGTGTGTGTCTGTATATACATGTGTGTGTTAAAACTTGGCTGGAGAAAAGGAAAAATGTAAATTCTGGTGTCAGCTTTCTTAGACATTACTTCTAGTATTTCCTATTATTGTGCTCTAGTTCAAGTGGCCTGTGTTAGATGACGGGCTCCGTTTAACTTTCTGCCTCAGCAGCAGTGAGGGGCAGCATAAATGGTAGGTAACAAGGCCAGCAGTGGAACTAGGAACCTGTTCTTTGTTTTTAAAATATATCTGTACTGATAAAATATAATGAACACTGACCACATAACAAAATGTACATTGCAAAACATGATGTGATGTTTTTACAAGAGATTAACGATAATGATTGGCAAATTATTGAGCATGGGCAGCATGAATTGTTGTTTTTTGATCCTACTGAAGACCAGTCAACAACTGACTGGTTATGTGCCATGCTTGGCTGTTCATTGAATACCATTTCTTGCAAATTCCCAAGTATTTAGAATGTACTTTGTTAAGTGGCTGTGTCTTAGGTCCAAATAATTTGTTATGGCCTACATGTTTGTTTCTACAAAAAGCATTTCTAGTGAAAAAATACAAGAATAACAGATAAATTGTTTATACAAAATAAAATAAGATCAGTGGCAAACACCTAAAATAAGTATCCTATCAAATAAAGCTGTTCCAATAATTTACAAATTCTGTTTTATACAGAACTCATTTATAGTATCCTTGCATGCACATCTTAGAAGACAAATTCCAAGTTTTCCATATAGTTTCCAGTTTAAACGTGGTTCGTTTTTGGAGTGATGAGATGAGTTTCATTCCTATGTCCCACAAATAACCCAGAGATGCATTTTAAATAAAAACACACATTCTACTCATGTAAAAACACCAGGCAGGCCCCACAAATAATCCAGAGATGCATTTTAAATAAAAGGGCACATTCTACTCATGTAAAAACACGCTGATTCCCGGACCGTCCGCAGGCCAGATTGAGAAGGCGAATGGGCCACATCCGGCCCCCGGGCCTTAGGTTGCCTAGCCCTGCCCTAAACGTTTTGTGAATATTTGTACTTTTGTCCATTTACTGTATTTATTTCCCTTGATTTGAACTATAAAATGGTGGTTTTCTTGAGTAAAAATGAGAGTACCCCTAAATATATTTTTAGAAAAAACAGCCCAGGGTATTTGAATACACATTTTTGCATGGTTTGTTTTTTTTAAAGTCACAGTGGGTTAATAAAGAAATAGATCAGAGTTTTGAACATGTATGAAATTGACACAGACTGAAACTAGGCTAAACATTCTGTCCCTTCTTGGAGACTGCACTGTTTTTCCTCATGGTGCTAGTTCTTAGTGCTATGCTCATGGGAGAAATGTAATGCTTTGTGCACCACCTCATTTCATACCTGCAAACTCCTACAGCTGTTTATAAGGGAAACTGTATCCCTAGAAATATCTGGTTTTTAGGACCCCCCAAGAGAAACATGAATAAGTGCAGAAGAGGATCTTTCCAGAATCTGCAGTGCTAATCTTATTGGTCACATTTTCTCCCTTGACAGCCAATTCCTATCTTTCTTACCTTACACAATGCTGCAGACGTTATAGCTTGTGGAATCGAGGCATTTGTGCAGAAAGAGGTATGACAAAATGAATTTCCTGTGTTGTTAACAGCCTGTGCCAGGGCTTTGGAAATAGTGAAATTAGTGTTACCATGTTTTCCCAGCTCTGCTAAATAGTCCAGTTACTAATTTTATTTTATTTTTAATAAGGGAAATACTTCAAACTTTTCCTTTCAGAAATGGAAAGAAAATTATTGAATTCTGTGGGAAGAATATGTATTTTGAAGTCTGTAATAGAGCAAAAAGGGAGCCGAATGACGGTGTCACTCTGAAGATCCATAAATAGCTCAGATCATTGAACCAGAGAGGGGGAAAAATGCTGATTTTGATGCAGTCCAAGGGTTGTATCCTTGGTAGTTTTGCCTTAGTGAAAAACCACTTCCACAAATTGGGACAACCAATATTTTTCAACTTCAGCCCTATAGTATTCTGTTCCAGAGTTCCCAACTACCAGGAGCAGCTTTCGAAGGGAGGAACTTAAGTAGGTAGGAAGAATTGGTGAAAATCAGATGCCCCAGCTTATATAAGTGGGAACTCTTTCCACTAAGGCTGTGGTGAGGAACATTTGGTCTAACTGAGCCCTCAGTTAAAAGCTATTTGAAGTATAATGTAGATCCTACCTGAACAACAACAGGGAGGGAAGGCGCATTTCATGGAGAGAGGTGTTTGTTTGTTTGTTTTTTAAAAAGATGAGGCTACCACTGAAAAGGCCCTGGTGTAGAATTAGCATTTTGCAACAGCTGTAGCTTATGAATCCACTTTAAAGGCAGACACACATAGATTGCATTACACTAACCCAGTCTAGAGGTAACCAGGGAAATATCGGCTACAACCAGATAGGGTCGCAGCTAGTAATAAAGCAATCCTAATAACTGCAGATAGCATTAAGTCCAGGAGGACCCCCACCCGCCAAAAAAGTTGCAAACTTTGCTTTTGGCTGGGGTATGCGTGCAATTTTAGAAGCTAATTTATTTAGGAACTATTTCAAGTTGAGTTCATTTTTTCTTCTACAGGTACCACAATAATAGAACTTGCATTTGGAAAACTGTCAGAAGTCTAGATGCATGTATAATAACACATTTTCTTTCCAGTGTTTTGATTGCATTTTATTTCCTTTCTTAACAGCAGACCTCTAGACTAAAAATCTGTAGGTAAGTTTCTCAATGTATAAGTCTATAGAGTTTCACAGAGGGCCTAGATTTCTCACAGAATCCAAAGTTGGTTTTCTAGTCACCATAAACTTCAAAAAGGACAAGTTTTTAATGCTTAAATACATACTTTGCTTTGAACATACAGATGAAACTGCCTAGAAATTATATTACTCAGCAGGTTGACACACAGAGGCCTACCATAACTTCTCCAGGTGAATCATAATTCCATGGTTCTTTTTCTTGACTCATCTCTTGGAGTTGTCTTTCTGAAGCCAACACAGAGTTAAGCCTCCTTAAGTTCATTAAAATCAGTGGGCTTAGGCATCCCTAATTATTCATTGGATTTAGGCCTAGGACCAATTTGCATTGGGTGTATCATTATTAAATTAGATTCCTTTTTAAATACAGTACAGTATTGTTTCAGAGAATTATAGTAAGTGCTCAGAAAAATGTATCTGTATTTGATGAGATTTGGATCAGAGTGGATGAAATAATTGTGTTTGTGTGCATATTTTTTCAAAATGCTTAAATACACAATTTCCAAAAGACCTTGAGGGCAAAAGATTGTTCACAGGCAAACAGAACTATGAGAAGATATTATATAAGAATGATTCAGTAAAATATCTCAAAAATAATAAACATATTTTAACTTTGTGTTTAAAAGTAACTCAAGTTAATAACTTAAGAAAACTTTTTGGAATTCAGGTGTTTTTGTATTAAGACAGTAGACAGTATTCCCCCCCTCCCCCGCAGATTATAGCAGCTTCAGAGAGGTGATTTGCATTGGAGAAACGGTGTGAGAGAAAGGACTAACTTTTTCTAGCGTGGCCCACATGGCCAATTTTATCCTTCTGTGATGGATAAGTTACTGTACTTGACATCATGTGACACCAGGTGTGGGATAACCAAAGTGCGTCCACGACAGCTGCAGTGGGGCTTGCATTTGGGCTGTTTACATTCAGCTCCAACTACAAGCCCTGATTTTGGCAAAAGGATTTGCTGCTGTGGTTTGAATTCAAGCTGGGTCTGCAAAGCAAGAATAGGGCAGATGGGGTCATGACAAAAGCAGAAGGGGATGTTGTAAGAAGGGGCTACTACACAAGGTGTGTCTTAGCTTTTTTCCCCTCTTCCCCCAAGGGGCAATTTCAGTGTCTATGTTATTCTCATCCATTTGATCATGCTTGTTGCCTGTCATGTGGCAAATATAGTAGTAGTAGGAATAATAACAAAACTGAAAATTATGAATAAAGCCAGGGCAGGGCTTTGGTTACAGCAGTGGCAGACAATATTGGACTCTAGTGTTGGACTCCAGCTTCCATTATCACTGACTATTGGCCTTGTGCTGATGAGATTTGGAGTCCATCATCATCTGAAAAGCACCATGTGTGCTATCCCGGGGTCACCATGTTTGAATTGAGCATGCAATCAAATCTCCATTCAGCCCTGAAGCTCACTGGATAACCATGGACTGGTCAATATTTCATAGCTTAACCCTAACTTACAGGGTAGTAGTGAGGATAAATGAGACATAGAACTACATGTACTTCCTTGAGCTATTTGGAGGCAGGATGAGATAGATACAGGATGAGATAGACAGATGGATGTATTTAATGAAATGGAAATATATAATTCCTCTGAGAATGCATTGCAATGAATGTCAGTCATGTGGCATACTCTTTCTTCCATGCAGAGTGCTGACTCTTCTGGTAGCAGCAGGGTGCCTTCCTTTCTGTGATCCACAGGTAGGTAGGTTGGTTTAAAAAAACCAATCCTAAGATTACTGTGAAATTGCATTTGTCTTGCTATCGGATTCAGGAAGTGAACATTCCCTCTTGATTGTGATTGGCTATTGAGAGGAAAAGACAGGAGGGCACAGGCCAAGCAACAAAACCTTTCACAGAGGCAGGTCCGCCATAGCAAGGCCTAGGAAACAGTTTGTGAAAGGAGTCTAATGCTTTTCAGGTATAAAAACCTTCTTCGGGGCATCTGCATAGAAACAAGGGCTTAAAGCTATATTTTCAAGCGAAATCTTTGTTTCTGGATCATTATGTATATATGGATGATATTTTAGTCAGCCAAATAAGTTTTTTTGCACTGGAAACACATTAGGCACATTTCAGTAAATTGTTTTAGTACCTCTGGAAGTCTCCTCTTCTCTCCCCACATGCATTATTGCACTTGTTTTTAAAAACATACAGCCATGTCCATGTTTACTCAGAGCTGTTTTTCAGCTTTGAAGAGAGAGTGAATAGTGGGACTGTCTTCTTCGTGAGCCTGCCTGCCCACCCCTCTCCTTTGCAACCCACCAATATCTGAATTAGGTCTGGGTGGGATGCAGAAGGGGGCCTTCTCTGTGCCCGCGGTTGGTTTTCAAACTCTCTCCCTAGGGAGGCGCCTCTCGCCCCCTCTTCCATCCCTTTTAAAACACCTTCCTTTTTCAGACAGGCATCCATCCAACCCGCCATTCTCTTAAGTTTTTAACCTTCCTGGTTAATTAGCTCTGAATTGTGTTTTACCTCCTTTTTGTCCCTTTTATAATTTGTATTTTTCTTGAGATTGCCCTCTGTTAAAAGCTGCCTCAAACATTAATGGAAAGGCAGGCTAAAAACTTTTAAAGTGATTGAAACAAGATTGCAGCCATAGCAGGCAAACCTTAGCATTGAAGAAAAAAGCCAGTAGTGAGTGTCAATGAGAAACCACCACCCAGATCCCGCTCTGCCCAAGGTAAGGCCTGTCTATGGTGGGGGGATGCTCACACATGCCCTACACTTTGAGAGAACATGTGGAAGGGTGGGGGTTGTGGAGTTGCAAGCCCTCCACCGCCACCACTTGGTGTGACCAGCCTCCACCCCATCTTCATGTTCATACCTGGTACAAACAATCTATATGCACATCAGTACTCATGTAGCGCTCCTCCACATGAAGGGAGACCAGAGTCAAAGTCCCCACTTTGTTGTGGTGAAGCTCTATGCTGGATGCGATCCGTGCGGTGAGGCAGAGCCACAGCCGCCCTCCCAGCACCAGCACCACTGCAGCTTACTTGGAAGGAGCTGGCATGGGGCAGGGTGGCAGCAGAACTGCATAGTCCTGACCTCACCAGCACCTTGCCCTACCGCAGGTCCCTCCAGTATGCTGCAGCAATGCTGGTGTTGGGAGGATGGCTCAGTCCCATTATGCGGGCTGCTGCTCTGCACATACACTGTTGGGCATGAATCAAGCTTCTTTACATGCCAGTCAGATTTGCAGGCATGGACACAGCACATCTTGGTGGCAGTGGTTGAGCTAGCCCTCAGTCCCTCCCATAAAGGTAAAGGTACCCCTGACCATTAGGTCCAGTCGTGGACGACTCTGGGGTTGCGGCGCTCATCTTGCTTTACTGGCCGAGGGAGCCGATGTACAGCTTCCGGGTCATGTGGCCAGCATGACTAAGCCGCTTCTGACAAACCAGAGCAGTGCACGGAAACACCGTTTACCTTCCCGCCAGAGCGGTACCTATCTACTTGCACTTCAATGTGCCTTCAGACTGCTAGGTTGGCAGGAGCAGGGACCGAGCAACAGGAGCTCACCCCGTCGTGGGGATTCAAACCACCAACCTTCTGATCAGTAAGCCCTAGGCTCAGTTGTTTAGACCACAGTGCCACCCGCGTCCTCCAGTCCCTCCCATACAAAGCAGATAATACCTTGTGTTACACCAGGGGTTGTCAACTTGGTCCCTACCACCCACTAGTGGGAGTTTCAGGATTCCCGGTGGGCGGTAGAGGTTCTACGCCACATGTTACTGCAGCACTGGCAAGCGGTAAGGAAATTTTCTCAAGAAAAATGCATTAGTGGGCGGTAGGTATAAAAAGGTTTACTACGCCTGTGTTACACAATGAAGTCTGTTTTCGATGTAGATACCCAAACACATGTCTTACTGTTTTTGTTGCTGCTACATGAAAAGAAGAAATGATATCAAATGACTAATAAATTAAACTGAAATTGATACAAAGTGGCAGCTCTTTTTAATATATTGTTTTTCCGAGAACATTTCTCCTCCAGCAACTACATCTTGGAACCATTTATGAAGGAGGGTTTATCTCTCTTTGCTTTGATGTTGTATTTTACAGTTTGACACAGATGGCTATTTTTGGGCCCTCATCCATTTGCTATGCATTGGTAAGTTTTTAATAAATTTGTGAAAATTAAGCTGTAATGCATAAGTGCTGCTCCTTTTCATTTTAGTAGCGTTTCGGCTGAGGCTCCCAGTTTTCTGGCTTTTGTCCCTCAGTACAATAGCCAACAAATTGCATAAGCGGAATTTGTTTGTATTGCTTCCACTTGGAACAGAAGCTTATTGTGTGTTCCTTCCAAAGGTATATGAATGAATCCAACTTTGCATTGAATTGTATGACACCATGAAAATGGAAGGGAAAACAAATATAGGCAGATCAAAGCTCTGAAATGATTTGGAGAGAACAGAGCACTGAAGAGTGAGAACAAATAATGGAAATGAGATTTTGATCTATACTGGTTGGAAATAAATGCATAACTACAAAACTGGGCATTAGCCAAAGTAGCTTAAATGCTGCATAAAAGTTTAGATTTTTCTAACTGCAAATAGATTTTAACAATCACATTGATACCAAATTTAAATTGGTCCCTAGCTGTCCACATTATGACTTGGGGCTTATCCGCTTCAAAGTGTTTGCATTTCTGTAGTCCACATGCCATTACCCTCAAACAACACCATTCTCAATGCTTTCCTCCTATAAATTCAGCTTTATCCTATATGGAGATAATCCAGTGTTGAGGGAAATCAGACTCCAAACTGCTCCAGATCATTTTTGGGGGCGTTTTGTGGTGGGTGGATCAATTGTCACTTTCTGCTACCCCCCTTTCCATGCCCACTACCTCCTCTGTGATTTGATTTCTTTTCCAGCAGTGTTCATAACTATTTCTGGTGTGCACCTGAATATTTCCCTCCCCCTTGATCCTTCAGATTTGCACAAATCCAGAAAACTGCACAAGCAAACCACATCAAACATTTCAATACCCAATATTTTGCCCAGCATTCTGAAAAATGTGTGCTGAGGATCACTTTAATTGCTTTTAGTTCTTTTTCAGCCCTGCTTGTAACTATTTCTGATGGCAGAACAGTCTCTCTCTCCTCTCTGATTTGCAGAAAACCAAAAAACTGCACAAGCAAATTTACAGTTGCCTGACCATGTGCTTTTTGTGTACTTCCTGGGTGGGGATTTTTTTAAAAAAAAACAGGCTGCATGCACCAGTATCTGCATGCATGTGCCATGTTGATATTTAATCAGCATTACAGAATCAACAAATCAGAAGGAGGGGGGAAGCATAAAAGGGAATGTCTACTGGTATGAATGGGAAATAGTGAAGTTGCTTCTCATATAAAGATTCAAGTACTTGTAGGTGTAGACTACTCCTTCTAATCTGAATGGTGGTGGGGATAGATAAACGGCTAAATAATGCTCAAGTGTGGACTTTTACGTGTTTTGTGTCCTTTTATTCACAGGGGCTTACAAAGTATATTATAATTCATGGAGACCTAATTCTCTAAGGTGATTTCCCCCTTGTTTTTAAAGAGGGTAAAAGAGAAGAACCACCATTACAGAATAATAAAAAAAGATCAGGAGAAAGAGGTGTAATGGTTTTAAGGTTTAATGTTTTACTATGTTTATATATATGTTGGAAGCTGCCCAGAGTGGCTGGGACAACCCAGTCAGACGGGTGGGGTATAAATAATAAATAATAATTATTATTTTAATTACAGATTGTTTTCATGACTGTAAGAACAAAGGGACTGAGGCACAGCTGTATAGTCAGTGATAAACTGAGGTCTCCATATCTCTGTGGTCAGTAGAATCCTGATGGAGACACTTTAAAAGAATTGGATAGCACGGGGGGGGGGGGGGAGCCAACCCAAGCATCCAAATTAGAATGAATAATCTGTGCACATGGTTAAAGATTTGAAGACAGAACAAGTTTTTGGGTGAGGGGATAAAGAGGAGGGAGGAAGGGGGGAAATTAGGATAAATGAGCAGGGACAAAAGTATATACTATTATGTATAACTAATAGGGGGATAAAAAAAATTCCTTCCAGTAGCACCTTAAAGACCAACTAAGTTAGTTCTTGGTATGAGCTTTCGTGTGCATGCACACTTCTTCAGATACACATGCACACGAAAGCTCATACCAAGAACTAACTTAGTTGGTCTTTAAGGTGCTACTGGAAGGAATTTTTTTTGTTTTGACTATGGCAGACCAACACGGCTACCTATCTGTAATAGGGGGATGATTTTGATGCATGTTATTGTTAGATTTTTGACTGAATGATTTTTTGACATCCCTGGATGAAAGTGTGATTATAAAGAGGGGGGGGGAGAGACACTTAAAAAAAACACTTTAGGGCCCCCCTTAGTTTACAGCACCCCAAATGAATAAATTCACCAAGTAGACTATGGCAAGAGCTACCTGAAATACAGGTGAAACTCGGAAAATTAGAATATCGTGGAAAAGTTCATTTATTTCACCTGTATATGGTCATGAGTCTGGAATAGTGAGCTGTAAACATCACTCCCCTCTGTATCTCACACATACAAGAGTTACTTACAGCGTGGTGGATTTTGCTTGTGTGCTGCTTTGAGAGTGGGTCTTGGCAAGAACGCAAGGTTTACATACGATCAATCAACCATTTAAGAGCAAATTCTTCACTGCAGCTTTAATGCTCATCTTCCCTCTTTTCTCCCAATTTAGAAGGATATAAATTCTGTCAAGGACATAATGGCTTTGCAACTGGGTCACACGGCCTAGTAATGTAGTTCTCTGAGAGCGTTTCTGTCGAGAGGGTGTTATGGTCCTGCTATTTGCTTTTGACTCCTTTAATGTTAGCCGCAATTCAAAACTCTGTGACTTCGTGCTTATCAAAGAGCCAGACAGCCATGAAATGGTTGGGAGTAAATCTAAAATAATGTTAGCTAGTTAGTTCTAATCCCCCAGAGCAGATTTGGGGTGTGTGTGTATGTGCTAGGAGGGGCGGGGGGAGTCTTACTCACAGTATATATTCCCCACTCCTCTATAGACCAGAACCCTCTAAATGTTGCCTGATTACAGCTCCCATCAGCCTTGACCCAGTGTCCTTGCTGGCTGAGGCTTTTGGAGTCCAGTAACATTTGAGGCACAGGTTCCCCTCTCCTACTGTAGGCCAGCTACCCTGCTAACTTCCGAACATGAGGAAAATAATGTTGCCTTTCATTTATGTTTTGGACAGGAGTGTTATACCTGGAAACTTGGCAATGCCATTTTCAGGAGTCAAAACACTGTCCTGGCAATTTCTTTTCAGCTGCAGGGCAGAAATTCTGGGAAGTTGAGCCAGGGCTGGTTCTTACCTGTTCTCATGGCCTGCAAGGGTCAGTCTGGCCTGTGCACTCTCTATGACTGGCGGCTCACATTGAATGGGGTTGTGTCCCCTGGATAAATATAGCTCTCCACCTTCCCCAGGGCAATTCTTCTCTGGCACTCAACCAGGAGTGCAGAGAGGTTGTTTGTGTGCTACTGAGCTGTGACTGAACTCCTGTGCCAAAGTCTTGGGTTTGCCAACAATAGTCAGGCAAGCAGAAATCAGAAACATGGGTAGTTTTGCCCAAATCAATATAAAGAAAACATGCCATGAGTAATAATATAACATTAACATCATATAATTGGTTTTTAGGGATTCTTAGGTATAATATTTGGTGGAAATCACTGTGTTTAGACCTCACCCCCAAGTAACAGATAAAATGATTTTCTTCTTTTAGTGATTCTCAGCAACAATATATAAACTATGCATTCAGGTAAAACTTGCATTCTTTCTTTCTCTGTTTGTTGTTTTGCTTCAGGGCAATCCTACCTGGGTTTGATTTCCTTTGGAAGAGAGAGTAGTGAAGACTTGTGCCTTTTGGGGGGGGGGCGGTTTCCATAATATTTGCTTTATTTACAATTCTACAAGTAGAACATAAGTGTAGGCAAGCAGTGCATGGAACCCCACTGTTTAAAGAGAGGCATCTTAAATTCCAAGGTGCTTCCAGACTTTATCTTCCCTCCCCAGCCATTCTTCACATGCACACCCCTCCACCTGCACCCCAGCTCCCTTAGCTCAGTGTTTTTAATATTGTAATTTTATGTTGTGAATTGCCCTGAGATCTACAGGTATAAGGTGGCACACAAATTTAATAAATATAATAATAATAATAATAATAATAATAATAATAATAATAATAATAATAATAAATTATTATTATTATTATTATTATTATTATTGGTGGGGAAGGGATGTGTCACCTTATGGAGGCAAGTTTCTTTTGAAATCTCAGGAAAAAGAGTAGCTGATATCAGATTTCCAGAGTCATGACTGCCACTTTCTTTTAGTAGCATAACCACAATTAAGTATGAAAAAATGATTTCCATAATTTATTGCAGAACACAGCTTTTCTTGGGGCAGAAATTGAGGTTTTTTGTTTTTTTTTAAAGTATAGTACTCAATCTGCTCCAAACTCCATAGACACCCAAGTTGGGGGGCATTAATGGGGTCAATCATATTCACTTTAATCATTCATAACAGTGAAAGGCAACTAAATTTTTTTATTAGCAAGATCATGAGGTTATGGAGCTCCAAAGCTGGTTTTGCATGCATTAATAGTTCATTATAGAAGTGTGACACACTCTCAACAGTTTAAGGTATAATTTCATGCCTCAGAGCAATCACTGCATTCTGAGGAATCTAAATGGAATTTTGCCAGAGGGGAAAAGCATAAATCTCTGGCAGCAATGTTTAAGAACCTTGCATCGACCTTATCACACATGCCTATATACACACAAAAATAATCCTATAGAGATATCCAGAAAACATTTCTGGTTATTGTATTGTTTCCTAAAGGGATACTGTCTGATGTGTGATGGCAGAGGACAAAACCTCACATCTACACACTTTCTATTGCCCTTTAGCTCAAATTGCAGAAGCGTCTACATTATTTAAATTACAAATTTGGTAGATGGCATAATCTGTGACATCGTTGTTCAGTCTGGGGAATTAATACTGTACTCTCTTTTTTATTTTTAGTGTGGTGATGTTGGCTTTTGCATCCCACCCAGCAGGTAAAAGAACTAAAAATTATAACTGGGTTTTTTAATTATATGGGTATGGTTTCATTTTCTTACATATGCTGTTTAGGAATATAATCTGTTAGATACACACACACCCCCGATCTGTAAGTCTGTGTGCGTTCAGGTGCACAGGTGGGTCACTTGCATTTAGGTAGGTATCTGTTCCTTTTTATGGAGTTAGTTGATCTGTACATACAAAACTACATCAGTGGGGAGTGTCTCCTTGCACTGAAATTATTGGGAAATCTTTTCTAAAAAGGGAGTTCTGTTTGCCTATCATAACAATTGCATGTAGATCAGGCATAGGCAAACTCGGCCCTCCAGATGTTTTGAGACTACAACTCCCATCATCCCTGACCACTGATCCTGTTAGCTAGGGATGGTGGGAGTTGTAGTCCCAAAACATCTGGAGGGCCGAGTTTGCCTGTGCCTGATGTAGATCATACCAGTAGATTGAGGTGTGATTTAACAGAGCCGGAATCAATCTTGGAAACTTGGTCATACTACCTGATATTTTATTTTGTACAACAGAAGCACAAACATTTATTTCTGTTACTGGTTTTTAATGGGATATAACCTGGTCCAAACTGTAATGCTGAAACTGAAGTTCTGATGCTGTCTATTTAGAATGTTAGTTGTGTGCTGCACCTTCTCTGAACCGCAGAAAGCTCAGAGCACCATGCGGATTTACAGATTGAAATATTGGGTGGGGGACCTGGAGAGTTGGGGAGCCTTTGCAATTAACTGTCATTTATAAATTGGCATGTTGAGCCACCACATAGAGTGTTCCAGGTTTACAGCAATATTGGATCAGTCCTTCCAAGGCCAGTTTCCAGCTATGTTCTCTCATATTCTTCTAAGCCAGTAGTGGAAACAAATTAATTCCTCATGACCATGAACAGTGAACACAGTGAACAGATCTTATGCTTTTCCATTGGAAAATGCAGTATCCAACATAGATCTTTTTGCAAGTGGAAATGTGTTCACTAAAAACACACCACTTCCTTTTCCTGCAACCTCTCTTTGAACTACTAATAAGTATCAGGTGCAGCTCAAAATGGTGAGAAAGGGGCCTTATAAGAGTAATGGCAAATTAAGGAGTCCAGAAGCTGTAAAAACATGTTTAAACCAAAGGATACCTGTTAAATGGAGTTTCTGTATAGAGGTTTAACTGAGTGTTTTTTGCTAGTTTTCCCATTGAATCAATTGTTTTATTCCACAGGTGATCTCTTTAGTGCCTTGGAATTTCCATTCCTTTACTTCTACAGGTTTCACAGCAGTTGCTTTGCCAGGTAATATTCCTTTACCAGAATGAGTTTGTCAAAGTTAGTGGCATGTAAAACCTGAAAAGGACAATGTTTTTTCTGGCACAAACCACCGAAATGCTGAGAAGGACCAAGAACTCAGTTCTCTCATTCTTCTCCACATCTTCCCACCCCCCACCCCCCTGTGAGCTGGGCTTCTCAAAGCATATGTTGTGCGATATTTTTCCACAACACTTTTGGGATGTCAAAATTGCTTGGCATCCTATGGCAAAGTATTCACTGAAGGCATCTCTTGAAGGCTCAACATTGGATTAGTCTTCATAAATCACATTGTTTTCAGTGATTACAAAGAATTAGACCATAATACCCCATTATTAGCATGTGGATTTATTTGCCTGTACATCTTGTTATTTGGAGGACTTTGCATGTTAGTTAAAAGGGAAAAGTTTAACCAAAATCCCATTAATTCAAGTGGAAACTGCTTGCTACCCAGGAAGAATTGAATTCTTTGTTGTTCATCTCCTAAGCATGTAGTAGTACATGTTGCCCAAAGTTCCATTTATTTATTTGTTTAGTGGTGAGATCTGCCTCTCATACTGCTGAGTGGCTGCCTAGTTATTTTTAGGTTCAAGTGTGTCCAAAACCCCTAGTTAGGCCGGTCTTTCTGTATACTAAGTAGTCATGCCCAGGATTGTACTGTAAGGCGATTTACAATCCTGGGAATATCTGCTTAGTGATTAAGTGCCATTGCTTAATTTGAAAAAAACAAAAACAAAAGCTTTGCTCTATTGGACATGGCTATAAATTTTACAGCAACATTTCCATGGGTTTAGCTGCTGAAATAACAATAAAATACATGAATATAATGAATTAAATGAAATAATAGAATATTTGTATCCTGCTCTTTCACCAATAAGCTCAGCTTGGCTTCAAGCTTGATGGCTGAGTAGGTATTTGAATCTGGGTTTCCTATATCCAGACAGAATGCTGTAGCCATTACAGAACGCTGGCTTGGATCCTGAGCTTGGATGCTGCTGGTGGGAACATCCTAGGATCAGGTTTCTGTTCCTGGGATCCTGTCACCCATGGAAGAGGAGTTTGCTCATCCCAAAAAGTATTTCCAGAAGGATGGTGGACACTGTAGAACAGTATTGCAGCAACTGCAGGAGGAAGGGGGAAACTGGTGAAAATTACCTCCTCCTCCCTTCTGCCAGTGGGATTCTGTGCTAGATCTAAAGCTTCCTGTTCAGAGAAAACAAACTGAGGAGCCAAGCCACTGCCTTTTGCCCTGTCCAATAAACACTGCAGTTTTCAGTGTTCATCTCTGTAATGCTGTTACTTTTGAAGGATGTAAGGGCCTCTCCAGATGTCATTTCTATGGTGCGTTCCTGGTTATTTGTGCTCATGGTCGTTATATTTGATCCCACTTTCAAAACTGTTAGTGCCTGCAGACATTTCAGAGTGGGCTTACTGCTTTGTTTTCAGCCAGTGCATGCTCCATAGTTTCCTGCTGAAATCCTATTGCTTTTTATTCCACAAGTATTCCAGGGGTTGTTTGCATCCAAAGCAGCACTAGTGGAATTCCAGTGAGGCAGTGGCATTGCTGTTTCCTCCCTTCTGCACATCCACCAAATCTTATTTCGAGGGTCCCCCAACCTTCTGGAACACATTTTCAATGCTTGTAGGGGGCTATGGGGTATGGGGAAGCTTCATTCTCTAGTGTAGGTATCTTGCACTAGTACAGGCTTCCTCAAACTTGGCCCTCCAGATGTTTTGAGGCTACAGTTCCCATCATCCCTGACCACTAGTCCTGCTAGCTAGGAATCATGGGAGTTGTAGGCCAAAAACATCTGGAGGGCCAAGGTTGAGGAAGCCTGCACTAGTAAAACAAAAGTGTTCTTCCCCAGGGTGTCCCCTCCCCCCAGTTTGTTGTGCTATAGTGCAAGTGCCCCCACAGACAACAATAGTGCAGTAATATTCTGGAAGCATTGCAGAACATCTCATAAAGTGGAATGATTTGTGGGGATGGTCTAGTATAAATCTACCACTATCGCACTATTATTGTGTCAATGACATCTTGCAGAATACACCCTCCGGGCTGGAGGGATCCTTAGTTGAAAATGAGAATTCTCTCCATTAATGGTGCTGTCTACTACCACCTTCTGCAGCGGTCTTCTGGGATTCCTTCTGACCTTATATACAATGAAGCTGAAAAGCAACACATCCTCAGGACAGTATGCAGCCTGGAGTTTCCTAGCAAAGGTAAGGTGTGTGCAGCTCTGTTTTGGTTAGGTATTTAAGAATGAGCATCTGTCACTCTTTCATATAACTCCAGCCCATTCTCATTATAGTAAAGGTAAAGGGACCCCTGACCATTAGGTCCAGTCGCGGACGACTCTGGGGTTGAGGTGCTCATCTCGCTTTATTGGCCAAGGGAGCTGGCATACAGTTTCTGGGTCATGTGGCCAGCATGACTAAGCCGCTTCTGGCAAACCAGAGCAGCGCACGGAAACGCCGTTTACCTTCCCGCTGGAGTGGTACCTATTTATCTACTTGCACTTTGACGTGCTTTCGAACTGCTAGGTTGGCAGGAGCAGGGACCAAGCAACGGAAGCTCACCCCGTCGTGGGGATTCAAACCGCTGACCTTCTGATCAGCCAGTCCTAGGCTCTGTGGTTTAACCCACAGCGCCACCCGCGTCCCTATTCTCATTATAACCTACTGTAAATAGTTTTTTCCTCCAACTATACTTTATATCCACCTTTATTAGATGAATGGATCATTCATGGCAAAAGTGGCAAAAGGATGGTATTCATCCTCTCCTCCAAAGCAAATTAATGTGTGGGGTGGTAATTCTAAATGGCATTTGTGATTATCGGGTCAAACTGGGCTGCAGTATTATTCTTGTGTGATAATAATTTGATTTTTTGAATGCACCTGCAGATTAATGTATCTGAAGAGGTGAAAAAGTCAAGGGTTGAATCCCACAATAAAATGACATATATTCATCCAGTGTTACAGTATGGAACTGTATCAGTTTCTAGACACACCATTTTGGTTCATCAGTAACGGTTTCTATGGTGACAACCTCATTTCTGGTTACACTGTTATTCAGAGATTAGGCTCCAGATTGTATCATGGATAAAATTAGTGGCAACGTGACCATTGGCTTAAATAAGACAACCGATCCAATAATGAGTTTCATGGTGATCATAAAGATCCTTTTTTAAAAAAAAAATCCTTAATATTGTATCCGTGATATGTTTGGGTTTTTCAAATCCTCACAGTATTCTCTGTGAGCATTGCATGTTTCACATCAGAGAACCTGCACATGAACTGCGAGAGGGGCAAATTCCTCCTCCTTTGGTTTCCTGTTCAAAAAAACATGCGTGCGAACACTCATTCTGATGTCTTAATTCAGTTTCAATTTTGGGTCCTAAGTATGTCTTGCGTATCTGCCAGAATGCATATATAGAATTAATCAGAATTTGACAGTTCAACCTGTGTGCAATTTCAATATCTGAACAGGATGTAGGAGGAAAGATTGGGGCAGGTGTCTTGTTGAAGCTCTAAGTCAGCTTTTGGTTGGTTTCCATAGAGATAGCTTGATAATAGTCGTGTAGCATCCAGCACTAATTATTGCACTGAAAGTGCTTCAAAGTCTTCAAAACTGTCTCCATAACAACACCTTGGTATCTAACATAATTATTAAATTTATCGAGGAAGTGGAATTAAGTGTCCCTGGCTCTTTAAAAATACAACATCAGTAGAAATCCTTTAACAAGCTGATACCGCATTATGGTCACATTGTGATGATAAGCAGTGTATACACTTGATTAATCTTAGATTTAATCTTGTTCATACTATTTAAACTATCAAAAACAATGTCTAAAATTGTAATACAGCATTTTTTTACAGCTCTCAGTGGATTAACCGCACTCAGGCATCTAAACAGAATATGCAGGAAGGCAGAACTACATAGTGTGGCTATGTACTGTTAGACAAATAATTATACAACATGACTACCGGTAGTTTGCAATGAGTGTTTGTAGAGCAGCACCCCGGCTCTGGAATGAGCTTCCTTTGAGCAGGTTCTGGCAACAAGGGAAAACATTCTTATTTTACTAGGCCTTTGAGCATTAGTGGCACATTTAATTTATATTGTCCTTCAGATATGAGAAATACTGTGAGTGAGATGGTTGGGTGCTGGTTTTAGAGGTTTTAGTGATTTACATTTTACTTTTAATTTCTGTGTTGCATTTATTACTTGTTACTGGATGTGTAACTCACCCTGCAACCTTAGGGTGATTCAATGAATGAATTAATAAAAGTAGGAGAAAGTTGCCTATGCAGACCACAATTTAAATGTAGACAAGAAGTGCCCAGGGAAGAGAATGAAGAAATACTATTTACATGGTAATATTGTGAGTTAATGCAGTAACATTATTATTGCTGAGTTACAGAACTAGGATAGAATATATTCTAGTCTTGCATCAATACTTCCTCCTTGCCCGGATATACAGTTATGCTTAAGGGCAACAGTAAAGACTGTTGATTACATTTCCAGTTGATTACATTTCCCAGGTCCCAACCCTTGCAGCCATTCCATGGTCCCAGGGCATAGTCTGAAGACATATGATGCAGCATTCTTGATGTAGTCTATCAGGTTTGAGATTGGTCAGTACCTAGTTGGAAGATCAACTGGGAATCCTAGATACACACCACACTGAGCCCCATCACGGCAAAAGGGCTGGATCAAAATGTAATAAATAAATAGCAACTGGAAAGCAACCATCTTTTCCCTTCCCACCATCCATCATTACTTCTTCCTTCCTTTTAGAATAGAATAGAATCATAGGGTTGGAAGGGATCCTGTAATACAGGACTATGCAGCTGTCCCTTATGGGAATTGAACCTGCAACCTTGGCATTATCAGCACCACACTTTAACCAGCTGAGCTATCCAGCTGATCTCCCATGTGTGAGACTATCACATAAACTATGTGAAAGATCCAACCTGAGTGGCACAGAATAAGAAAGATGCTTATTGGTGATCAGTGCCCAGTCAACCACAACCACATCAAGTTAAATAAACACGTCGTAGACCCATATCACTTTTTGTTATGCAACGCCACCTCTACTAACTCATGCTTCCCACTACAGGAGGAAAACTGACTTCCAGGATCTATCAAGGCTAAATTTATCAATGAGAATTATCCATATTTCTTTCCATCCCTACCTTGGCATTCCAATGTTTTTATTTAGTCTCTTTCTTAAGTGATTTATATTTGGGAAATTCTAAGCTGAACTATGATTCATAAACATAATTTTAAATGGAAGGGAAAGAATAACAAGTCTTTGTCTGGGAATAATTTCCATTGCTAATTTGCAAGTACAGATTCCAGATGTTCAGTGAACAGAGCATTGCAAAATATGCTTATACAGAAGATTTTAAAATTACACCATTTATATCAAGCATCCTTCAAAGAGAGTACAATTTCCATTCTTATATAACACAATAGTCTAATATTCCTTTCAAGATGTGTTGTATTCTGTTTTTTCTTTATGGCTCTCAAATCTTACACAGAAATCTTGTCCTTCCACCCTGCATCACTAAGTGCCATTCCAGGTGGAGGATTTTGAAAAAGGAGGAGTAGGTAGGAGCATATGGAGATATGGATAAAGATAAGACAAGGGAAGGCAAGTTAGACACCTTTTTGATGCCATCTTTTCTTCTGGTAAATGCAAGGTGGTTGAAGAGAAATATCTGCTGATAGCTACCTTGGCATGTATTACCAAGATAAATGAAACATATAGGGTTAATTTGTCTTGGCTGGGTCCACCTAGGTGCTTGGTGCAACCACCACCAGTGTCTAAAGCACTTTGATACAGCTATCAAATATACTGCAAAGCTCAAAATATACATTATGCACAAATTATTATAGCAGTAGCTAGTGCATTGTCTATTTTAGAAAATGAAGTCATTTCTGGTGAAGGAGCAGAGGGAGTGAACACATGACCCTTTCCCTCCCACCATTTCCTTGTTCCAGCTCCCACTCACTGGAGTTTTCCCCCTGTGGAGTTTCAAATGCATGTTTTCCCTTATTCTGAAGAATTCTTATGGGCAAAGGAACTGTGGTACACAAAGGGACTTCTTTGCTCACAAGAGCATTGCTATTCAGTTAGAGAGACCAGCCCATTTGACACATGCTGTCACTAGCATTTGAGAATGGACTGTCCTGTTGAGAGGAAGAGGAAAGCCAACATCATGCAAGTGATCATTCTTCCACATTTATGCCAGACTTTCCCAATATGGTGCTCCACAGATGCCAGTGAGCATGACCAACAGTCAAGGATTTTTATTTGCAAAGATTTCTATATTTCTGATTACTGGTATGCCAACATTGAAAATATATATATCATGGTGGCGAAGAGTATACAAATCATCAATAAAATTAGATTCACAAAACTAGTACAGAATACATCATTTTATAGTCCAAAACATCTGTGGGGCACCAGGTTGGGGAAAACTGCCATACACATTGACTTCTGGCCTTCCAAACTGTCTTCTCCAGCATGATTTCATAAAATGCTTTTTAAATTATCAATGTGCGATTTCTGTAAAAAGCTACAGAAAAACTTTACATTTTATCTCTTCATAGAGGACTAAAATGTTGAACAACCCCCGTTTTTGCTGTCATTCCTTGTGCCTTTCTGCTATAATAAAAATAACTTGTCGATTTTCTTTCCATTACATCATCTGAGAAGCAGCAAAAACACGCCAAAAAGTGGCAGAATCAAGACTTTAACTGTATTATTGTTGGGGCGTAATCTGAAACAGCGTCAGCAAAGCAGTTTGCTATCTGGCCTAGGAATTGTTTTGTTTTCTATGTTGTCCCAATGGAGTCATGAACTAGAAAATTAAATTATAAATGGAAAATTACCATAGATAAATATTCCCAAATGTATGGACATATTTGTGAGGACAAGCTATTTTTATTGATGAATGACATAAATAATGCTTTTTTAAGATTTCTTGTGCTGTTTCCAAGCCCACCTCCCTCCCAAACAATTACAACTTGACTGAAGTATGATAACAATTTCCCATTTCACAACTGCTGACAATTGTGAAGAACATGCCAGCATTTCAGTAACTTGTTAATATTTAGTCAAGAGCTGATTCCCCCCCCCCATGCTTTAAAACTGTTGACTTAGAATAGTGAGCATGCCTGGAAGGCTATATAAGTCCCTCAGGCTGTTGAGCATGATGCCTAAATGTAGCCTTCGTGTTCAGAGGTCATATCTACCACTGAATACCATCCGCTTTCACAGGATTCTGGGTAGAAATGATGGGAAAACACAGATGATGGACTTGATGGGTTTTTGGTCTGATTGAGAAGGACGCTTTGGAGATGTGGTTGTGAATAGACCACAGCATGTCAGGGGAACCTGTGGCCCTCAGAGGATGTTGGGGTCCAACTCCAGTCAGCCGCAGCGAGCATGCCAGTGGTCACAAATGATGGGAACTTAAGCATCTGGCAGCCCACATCTTTCCCATCGCTGGACTAGAGGAATTAGCTCACCTGTGCAGACACGATAGCTATTGTGCAGCTTCCTGAATTAGTTCAAGAGATTGCGCCTGCTTTACTACAGTTTTATAAGCCTCAGCAATTTTGTTGGTTTTGGGTTTTTTTTAAAAAAAAGATCAAAATATTAATCACCACTGGTAAAGAAATGGTTTGGGTGATGAAAGCTGCTCTTGCAACATCATCCCTTCATGTTCCCTAGCCTATCATTTTAATTCCTATTACAGTGGTACCTCAGGTTACATACGCTTCAGGTTACATACGCTTCAGGTTACAGACTCCGCTAACACAGAAATAGTGCTTCAGGTTAAGAACTTTGCTTCAGGATGAGAACCGAAATTGTGCTCTGGTGGCGCAGCAGGAGCAGGAGGCCCCATTAGCTAAAGTGGTGCTTCAGGTTAAGAACAGTTTCAGGTTAAGAACGGACCTCCGGAACGAATTAAGTACTTAACCTGAGGTACCACTGTATTTAAAAAATAAGGACTCTCCAATCACGTTAATGCTCTTTTCTATATCCTTGAAGGCCAGCAAAACATCAAGATGCTCAGGAATTAGAGGGGAAGGGGGATATTGCAATTTAATCCTTAATGTTGAGAATTTAGAGATGATGAGGGGACGCTCAAAGAGGGAATATATTTTCCTTGGCTGTGTGTCTGTAAGTGTCGATGCTGCTCTGCACCATGTGACTTTTTCAGGCTAGGTCAGAAGTTAATTGCTATGAAAATACATTAAGGTTACTTTATTTACTCGAGTTGCTTCTTATCAGTGCTGCTTAGGGCTCTGATGTCCAGCGCTTGTTGAGACAACTTCATGTTTTGCTTGTTTGACACATGGCTCTTTCCTTTTCTTAGATCTGCCAGAGTTCATGTTTACAGCTTAATGTGAGGGAAGGCCCAAAGGAAACGTGTATCAAACTAAACTAGGGTGGATGTTGTCAGTTGGTGGCAGCATCACCTTCTTTCCTTGGCATGTAGGCCACTACTATGGCAGCAACCCAGGTTTCAGAGACCCTGAGATCTTATCGATACTGTTGTTTAGTGTGGATGGCAAACTTCCTGTACCTCCATTAATTCTCTGTTGTCCGTATGATGTTCTCCTACCAATGCTTTCCTCTTCCTCAGTCCGGATTTTCAGGGATACACTGAGAAGAGCGTATGATAAAATCTGGACTGAGAGAGGGGGAAATGTAGGAAGGCAGTGATTTGGAGCAAAACATCATATAGACAACAGAGAATTAATGTGGGTGCAGGAAGCTTACTATCCCCATTAAACAACAGAATGGGTGAGCCCTAAAAAACGTTATTTATGCAGAAATCATAAATAATTTTTTTTTAAAAGGGGGGGAAGAAATGTAGTTCCTAAGGAATGGTGTAGGGAGGGAATTATCTACCTGCAACCACAGCAGCCAAGTAAGGAGGTTAGGAATTGAGGAGTGAGGCATAAGGAAATAAAACAATTTCTTACTTCTATTTGGAGAGATCTTATTTCTTTCTGCCTTTTTTTGGTTGTCCAGCCTGAGAGGGTGCTGTTGTGTGCTTGAGCTGGGGAAAAGCATCGGCTGCTTGGGGTTCTGCCTTTGTGCTGGACTATCAACTTAAAAGGGAAGCCCTGGCAATATGCAATGCCCACTTATTTTAGGGCAGGTGTATAAGGCCAGAGTCCCTCTGCCACCCCAGTGTAGCTGGGCTGATATCCTGGAATATTTCGATGGTGATTTTGCCTGTATTTTAGGTTTCTAACATTCCGCAGTGCTTTGGAAAGAGTGTCTTTGAGCCTGTAATATTCAAAAGTGAATTACCACATCTCTTGGGGCTCCCCCAGTTCTGTATCTGCCTCCTGGAACCTGGTGAGCTCTTTCGATGTTATTGAGGGACAGTGGTATGTTTAAGTTCAGGGAGAGTATCCAGTCATTAATGAAATGCGCCATGTCCTCCACTTCCTGGTTCTCTGGAAGACAACCGTTTTTCCTCCTGTCGATGTCTGGTTGTTCCTCCAGCTTCATAACTAAAACTTTAGTCGACATTTGTAAGAGTTGGATCTCAAACTGGTTGGTTAGAGCAAGATTGTGTGCACAGTTTGTTTTTTTACAAAATAAATAAATTGATACAGTGGTACCTCGGGTTACGTATGCTTCAGGTTACATACGCTTCAAGTTACAGACTCTGCTAACACAGAAATAGTGCTTCAGGTTAAGAACTTTGCTTCAGGATGAGAACAGAAATCGTGCTCTGGCGGCGCAGCAGCAGCAGAAGGCCCCATTATCTAAAGTGGTGCTTCAGGTTAAGAACAGTTTCAGGTTAAGTACGGACCTCCGGAACGAATTAAGTACTTAACCTGAGGTACTACTGTATTTAGTTAGAAAGCATATCCAATTTCTGCTCAAATGGAGTTAGGGCTATTTATAGGGCCTGCCTTATTTTTTTAATGTACTCATCTGAGTCTCTACCCTCATCCATTGTGGCAGCTATTTTCCCTCCTTTGGAGGCCTTCATGTTGCCTTTAGGCTTGTGACTGTCAGTGTCTGAGGCCTCTCCTGAAGCCTCAGGCAGAGCTCCCTCTGTTTCTTCCTGAAGAACTAACTTGCAGATTTGCTTTTTGGTCCCTGTATTCCTTGGATCATCACCTTGCTGAGGCTTGTATGAAACTTTTTGATTAGATGTCAATAGGATCCACTCTGCTTCGATTTTGTCCCAGGGTGATTGGAGACACAGAATTATGCCGCCATTTAGCTTTCCAGCTAGCCATGCCCCTAGGCAAACAGACCCAAGTGATTAAAATAGCTCAGGATGTAGCTGGACTCTTTTGGAAAATAACTCAGAGAACTGTGCCAATCCGCCTCAGGAAGGCTCACCCAACGTTTTGGGTTTGTAGGGTGCTTTACAGTTCAATAGCTTGAACATGCTGCAAAAGCTCAATGAACTTTTGTTTTAGAATCTTAAAATTGCCTTTTCCTTCCAGCAACGCATGGTAGCTTTTGTTTGTCTCGAGAGGAAATATGCCTTCCCTCTCGAGACAAACAAAAGCTACTATGCGTCGCTGGAAGGAAAAGGCAATTTTATTTAATTTTAATGGAAGTTGGGGATATGGAAATCTTAATATTTTATGCAACATTTGACAGTAACACATAAAATGGATTTGCATGTAAACAAGATCAAAACCCATCAGCATCATGGCACAGGCAGGTTTAAAAGATGCACCGTCTAACAATGATTCCAACAAATAGCTCTGTCAGTTTAGTTGAATGGGTCCTTGTGGTTAGAAGGATGCTGATAGCAACTTCAACTTAAAAGGCAAAATATCTAAGCCAATTTAAGCAAAATTAGAAGAACATTTGGCTTGAAGACAAGAAAAGTGGTACTTCTGTGTCCTGCAAGGTAATGCCCTTCAATTATTTCCTTAAAATGATTAATCTACAATTAAATCAGTTAAAGTTTGGAGTCTTGGTTTTAAAAAAGTTTTCTTAACTTTCTGTACTGTCCCCCTCTCAAAATATCTCTTTCAAGTGTTAATATTCTTGCAAATGAAGTTACGGGAAGTTGATGTAACAAATCACCATCTTCCTTGTCTTTTCTAGGTTATAACAGCTGCTCTATCCCCATTCTTCTTCGAGATTGCAATGAATGTACCAACAGCCTGTTGGTAAGTATTTGGCGGGGGGGGGGGGATAAAAATTATGGCTGTTCTGTATTTGCTGTTGGATTTCCAAATTATGTTCATTAATTTCTTCTGATTTTAAACAAAAACAGTTAAGCAACATTTTGTATAATAAGAAGAACGCAGAGTAGTTTACAATACATAATCATACATACCATAGTAACAAACAATATTTTCCCCACAGTTAAAAGGCCATAGGTCTAGGGGAAGAGGAATGTACAATGTGATAGGACACATCAAAATGGCTACTTTGGGGAAGGTGCATGGACTATGCACAGCAAATGAATACCAGGAACATTGGAATCATTGGACAGGAGAAAAATTGTACAGAAATGCCATTAGATTTGCAAGGGCCTCAATCATTAATATAGATAGAAAGAAGGTGGCTAAGGGTGATGAGGATAAAGGTTTATAAAATTAGGCATGGAGTGAAGAAACTGGAAGAGGTTCCACACTCCTGATCTAGAGTGGAGGTTTTCAAGCAGAGGCTGGACAGCCACCTGGTGATGATGCTCCAGCTCTGGATTTTGTGCATCAAGGTGAGCTATCTGACAGGACCTCCACCAATTCTGTGATTCTTGTTAGGGACATTAAGGTTTTGCAAGCATCCAAGCAAGTGAACAGTTAATTTCAAACTAGGGATGGTAGCCAGTATATCTGCAGTGCTATGATATGGTATCATGCATAAGATATGTTGAAGTTTAATAGGCACATGTTCAAGTAAGTGTTCATGGAAAGTTTGCAATTGGGTCTTTCTCCAACATCCTTCCCCACAAAGTAAAATGGCAGTATTTCTGAGCTATCATATCTTTTATTATTCCGGGCTCATGAGGAATAATGATATCATTATAAAATGGTTTGCACCATAATGGTTATGCAAGAGCTTGCCTTTTCAGGAGCAGTGGCACTTGCATAATTTGCAAAAACAGCCTGGTGGTGAAGCTAGGAGTTTAAATGGATGTAATGCTATTAAAACCCAGACGGCTTTGCATGGTTTGCCGTGTAAAAATGCCCTCTTACCAATAAAAACTACAAAAGTTTGTTTTATTTATAAAGTTCCATAAGGAGATTTGCTGTTTCATAAACTAAGCCTTGTGGCTTAAAATATAAGGTCATAACACTGAATTGTAGAAGAGGAAATGGAGCTGAGCCAGCGATTTGTGGATTCTTCTTGTTGAGTGACTTAAGAAAAGAGCTGGAGACACGACTTCCCCCTTGCTCAAGATGAATGAAGTGTGAGCTGACATCTTTAGAAACAAGAGACAGCTCCACTGAACTCTGCTACCTCTGGAGCCCTTTGTTCAAGCTGTGTTGTTCGCAAGATTAGTGCAGAGTAGGAAATGTCATTGCTAGAATGGTGATGGGAGAAGCGAGAAGCTGAGGAAGTGCCTTTGATGAATGTACTGCATGGACCGTTGTGTCATAGACCAGTCTGGCAGACTATTGTATAAACGGATAGGACATCAAAGTGATCCATCCAATTAAAGTCCCATTGTGAAGGTTACTTCCCAAGCTTTTTGTTCCATTGACCATGCTGGCTGGAACTGATAGGAATTGGAGTCCAACAACTGGAGCAGCAAAGGTTGCCTATTCTTGGTGTGGTGCCTAGATTGTAGTACTGGATAGATGTGAATTCAAATGCCAGCTCAGCCCCAAAGCTTGCCATATGACCTTGGGGCCAATCTCTCTCTCTCTCTGTGAGCCTAACGTGACAGATGAGGATGTTGAGGATAAAGAAGAGGGGATACCATAAATGGTGCGATAAAATAAAAAAGAATTCCAACTAGCTACATTTCAAATAGGCTCTACCATTTCTCTTTTTTACTTTCTGCAATGATCACCAAGCAGTTTCCTTATCTGAGAGCTATTCATGGAGCAGACGTGCACATAGATTGAGCCCTAGAAATTATTGTGTCTTCTCTCTGACTCCAAAAGCACAAAGGCTTGGGTCCAAAGAACTGCATCAGGCCTCTCCTTTTCCTTCCTGATGCAAAGAGCTACTCTTTAAGGGTCAGGGAACCCTCTGAAAGAGTTTGTGATAGGACATGAGAGAGGATCTTCAGAGAGATGAATTGGGGACTGCATTCCAGTGAGAGATCAGATCATGAGATGCTTTGGATTCAAGCTACTATGTTGATAATGTGTGGAGAACATCAGTCCTGAAGGCCAAATGAGGCCCCTGGATGCTCTCCAGACCCTCCCCAGCCTTGCTTACCCTCCTCTAATGTTTATTTCCTGTGTTCTGGAACCGATAAGGACTCTTGCTACTGCAAAAATGTAAAATTTACATTCATTGCTTGACCCACCACTGGCGATGTTGGTCCCAAAAGGCTGCCCAGAAGGGGATGCAGCCTTTTTAAGAAGAGCATCATATGTAACATTAAATCATGGTTACTGCCATGTGCTGTTTTAGTTATTGATGTTTGCATCAGGCTTTACAGTGTAATAGACAACAACTGTGTGATGTAGCAATTTTGTGTATGGTTATGATCTCTCTCGCAGCAGGATTTGACCCAGTAGAGAGATTGATGTTGACATGGAAACATATAGGTGCAGGCATGGCAAGTACTTATTTTGTTATCCCCACATCATGCTTAGAGCCATAAGAAAGAGAGGGCAATTACCTTGATCCAAGCCAGTTATTCAGAATTTCCTAGGTTAATCAAGATTCATCCATCAGGCACTGGGAGGACAAGTGGTATTCTAGAAGGAAGTAGCCCCCTAACTGTAACAAAGACCACCCCTTCCTTCTTCCAAGAGTGTTAGGTAAAGGGACCCCTGACCATTAGGTCCAGTCGTGACCGACTCTGGGGTTGCGGCGCTCATCTCGCTTTATTGGCTGAGGGAGCCGGCATACAGCTTCCGGGTCATGTGGCCAGCATGACTAAGCCACTTCTGGCGAACCAGAGCAGCGCACGGAAACGCCGTTTACCTTCCCGCCAGAGCAGTACCTATTTATCTACTTGCACTTTGACGTGCTTTCGAACTGCTAGGTTGGCAGGAGCTGGGACCAAGCAACGGGAGCTCACCCCGTCGCAGGGATTCAAACCGCCGACCTTCTGATCGGCAAGTTCTAGGCTCTGTGGTTTAACCCACAGTGCCACCTGCGTCCCTTCCTTCAAAGACCACCCCTTCCTTCCTTCCAAGAGTGTTAAGGTTCATTAAATCAATAAATAGTTCATAGAGCTTTGTGATAGTTAGGACAGGACTGGAAGAAAATCCAGAGCGTTATCAGAGGGCAGAGGGTGCAGCATTAATAGTCAAATAACATGTGGAGTCCCAAGAAACTCTGGGGCCCAGTGCTTGGAGTACCTTCTACATGTCAAACGACGTTGGCTGCCAAAATGTTCCTTTTCCCCATGCAGTGCAGCCATGCATGTATACAATTGCTTCTGGCATCCAGAAGGCTTCAATGTGTGGTTCCACAAAGGTGCCCTGACAGCCATTGTGCTCCTAAGTGAGGGACCAAGTTCCCGTCATCTTGAGGAACCAGGGGTAAGCAACTGGGATGCCATCATACTCTCAACAAATTACCAGTGGTTGTTATTCTATTACTTAAGGAACTGAAGAAATATCTCAGCATGAAAATTACCAACTATTTTGGCAATGCCATCCTGTTCAGTGAGTTTCCTATGAATTGCCCAAGTGAATCTTTGTTGATAAAGCTTCTCCTCTGCTTTCTTCAACAGTCTTTTACTTGGTGGGTTTGCTGAAGCCTCACTGCTTTACATCGAAAGGACTGGCATATGAATATATAAGGAGAAATTATGAAGAAGAGAATAACCAAGCATTCCCATCAGGGGTAATAGTCAGTAACTGAAAAATCCAAAGCAACAGCAGTGAAGATATGCAAACTGCAAGTGACTTAATTCCACATTCTTCTTTCTTCAGAGCCATAAAAATGTTATTAATAACAGTGCAGAAAGTCAGGACTCCGTTAACCTTTATACTAGCCAGGCTAAACTAAATTGTGCAGTATCAACTATACTAGATCCACTACCGTAAAACCATCTGGGCATGCACTGCTGTAAGAAAGGTGCTTATCCTGCCCCCTTTCCAACCTTACTTCGAGTTCTGCACCATTCAGAATTTGACGGCTGTCCCTTTATCACAATATAAATTATAGGACCGTAGTCTCACTTGTGAAGGGAGAATGGATAAGCTTCTTGGTCTGTGGCAGATTTCCAGGTGTATCTGGGTACAGGGAAGACTTGGTAGTATTTTGTGCTCAGTCTGGGACATGCATTGCCCAAGTAGTCATACACAACTCCAGTGAAACATGAAGAAACAAAACCACGTGGGTCTGCTCAGAAAGAAAACCTGTTTAATGGGATTTGCTCCTGTGTAAATGCGTAAGGGTTGAAATGTGAATCCACTGCGGAAATCTGTTTGTATGTGCATGCAGAGGAAGAGGGCGCACTTTCTATGTGTTCTTGAGTGTGGACACAGACAAGCACAATGTCCAACAGCGCAATCGGACGTGTCTTTTCAGAACCAAATCCTATTGAATAGTTGTGTCATGATTGCAGCAGGAGGTGGCTAATTTTTGTTCCATGATTATAAGCAATTCCTACTGAGCCTTAAGCATGAGCATTTTGAAGATTGGCACTTGGGAGTATCTACATGAAAGCACAAGCAAAGCAACTGTTTCTGCCATACCTTGCAAATAGGTACCAGTTCTGCAGGTGTTCTTGTCAGAGTTTCCATTCAGTTTAAGGTTATCAACCAGGTAGCTGATGATCCTCCATTGATGTATAGCACCAGAACAGCTGTATTTTTTGTGGAACACTTCTTCTGTATGTTTTTAAAAACAAAATTAGGCTGAGTGACCTTATTCACTGTGAAAATAATACTGTAACCAGCATAGATTTGGTATACCCTCTTATAAGATGGAAGTATCACATTCAATTATTCTGTCTGCATAAAAAAGCTAAGAGATGTTTAGTTCAAGCTTTGGACTGCCCCCCCTTACCCCAAATATCTGAAAACCAGAAACCACAATCTGATGTGTGTTCATGGACGCTGGAAAACTCAGCTAAAAGAAAAGAGTACCTTGAAATGATAACTGATTAGCACAAGGCCATGTTGAATGTAAAGTAACTGAGTAGTAAATCTTATTTGCATTTTTCAATCTGTTTTGTTTCTGTCTTATATTGTTATCTATTATACACACACACAAAAGCATTTACACATCTTAAATTCCAATAGGTGCAATCCCTACAAGTATACAGTACAGTGGTACCTCATGTTAAGGTCCGTTCTTCACCTGACACTGTTCTTAGCCTGAGGTACCACTTTAGCTAATGGGGCCTCCTGCTGCTGCCGTGCCGCTGCTGCGCGATTTCTGTTCTCATCCTGAAGCAAAGTTCTTAACCCGAGGTACTATTTCTGGGTTAGCAGAGTCTGTAACCTGAAGCGTCTGTAACCTGAAGCGTCTGTAACCCGAGGTACCACTGTATACAGTTTATAATGCAAATCTGTATATGGCTCCTTGGAAGTAAGTCCCATTGAGTTCAGTGAGGCTTACTCCTGGGTTAGCATGCATTTGATTGCAGCCTCAATCTTTGCTATGTATTTGTAAGTATACTGACCTTCTTTTGTCGTTTCCTCTGCAACTTTGTTTCACTGGAATATAGGCAGTTTCCATAGCAATGATAGCCTTCTGCTCTCTCTCCCACTCCCAGCCTTTTGGTTCTGGACAGCTGCCCCTTCAAGGGCATTCAGATGCCATTATCGCTCTTCATATCCTCAAAAGGGTTGAATTATGTACTTTTTACTCAGTCATTAATCAAAAGCCTAATGCAAAGCAAAAATAAATAAATAAACCCCTACATGGTTCAAGCTTCAAAAGGCAATTATTTAGGTAAAGTGAAGCTTTCATTCAGGCTCGCAGCCTGTCAGTTTGGAATTGAGAACAAATCATACATCTATGATGGCCACACGATCATTATTATGGTGGTTGGAGAAGAACATTAGCTGCTACCTGCGAGTACAAAATGGGTCTTTGTATCTCACAACAGGTTGCCATCTTGTTTGGGATTTAAAGTTGCTCCAGACTACAGATCCATGACTCATTTTGGTCTAGAAAGTTGCCTCCCATCATACACCCACCCACCCACTCCCCTCTTCCACATGGCTGGGGAGCCTGATTAGCCAAGGAGACACACACACGCACAATGTAGAAGAGCTAAATATGAACAAGTCTGTAGGCACATAGGTCCCCTCTCATGTTTGCTGACTGTGTGGCCAGGGATATGATGCTAAAGGCCCCGCGTGATAAACATTCCAAAACTGGTGCACACGTACATAAAGATATTAAATGGGATGTGGGTGGCACTGTGGTCTAAACCACTGAACCTCTCGGGCTTGCCGATTGAAAGGTTGGTGGTTCGAATCCCTGTGACGGGGTGAGCTCCTGTTGCTCGGTCCCAGCTCCTGCCAACCTAGCAGTTTGAAAGCACGCCAGTGCAAGTAGTTAAATAGGTACCGTTGTGGCGGGAAGGTAAATGGCATTTCTGTGCGCTCTGGTTTCCATCATGGTGTTCTATTGTGCCAGAAGCAGTTTAGTCATGCTGGCCACATGATCTGGAAAGCTGCCTGTGGACAAACGTCAGCTCCTTCAGTCTGAAAGCAAGATGAGCGCCTCAACCCCATAGTCGTCTTTGACTGGACTTAACTGTCCAGGGGTCCTTTTCCTTTAACTAAAGATATTAAGTGGGGATGCGTGAAATGGAAACTGAGAATATTTTGCTATTGTTTATAATAATAATATTTATTTATTTATTTATATGCCACCTATCTGACTGGGTTTCCCCAGCCACTCTGGGTGGCAATACCAATGTGTATAATTTATTGCACCAATTATATATAATTTATGCATCAAAAGCATAACCAAGCAGCTGGTTTCAAAGGGAAATAAACTTTCCTAATGAGATGCAGTGGAAGTCCTATTAATAATATTTTTAGGATATATATATAGTCATAAGAGCTTTAGTTTATTTTGCTTTTCAAAAGTAATGTGGTTTTTAAAAAAATGTGGCTAAGTAGTCGTTTTATTTATTAAACAGTATATATTTTTATACTTCCTTATGGGCACTACTGGAGGTTTTTGTTAGGTGTTATAGGCAAAACGGATTGATTTTAAGTTACCTGTCAACAGGCTGATGCGGCATCAGCAATGCTTAATTAGCTGCATAACTGAAATGTGGCTGGCAGCCCTAATTATTAATACATCTGGGGAAAATAAAACACTTTAATCCTTTCCTAGTCTAGGACTAGAAAAGCTTATTCAAAACATGACAGCTCCAAGTGCCTCTTCATAGGTGCTAATGGCTTTTCAATAGGCCGTATGTAGCCTATGGCAGCTGGCAAGTCCTGTGTTAGATTAGCTATGTCCTCATCTGGCAGCTCTAATAGGTAGATGTAGCATAAAAGTAAAGATGTCGCGGACGACTCTGGGGTTGCGGCGCTCATCTAACTTTATTGGCCGAGGGAGCCAGCGTACAGCTTCCGGGTCATGTGGCCAGCATGACTAAGCTGCTTCTGGCAAACCAGAGCAGCGCACGGAAACGCTGTTTACCTTCCCGCTAGAGTGGTACCTATTTATCTACTTGCATTTTGACATGCTTTCATACTGCTAGGTTGGCAGGAGCTGGGACCGAGCAATGGGAGCGCACCCCGTTGCGGGGATTCGAACCGCAGACCTTCTGATTGGCAAACCCTAGGCTCTGTGGTCTAACCCAGAGTGCCACCCGCGCCCCTCATGTATGTATGTATGTATGTAGCATACACAAGCTGAACAGGAAAGGTGTTTTTGTTTTTGTGCTGGCATAAGTCCTCCTCTGTTCAGCAGAGTACTTAAAAAAAACTGGACACCCCTCTTGCAGGAGTGTAGAGTTGTGATCTTTATGGTGTAAACCAGGCTTCCTCAAACTCGGCCCTCCAGATGTTTTTGGCCCTAGCTAGCGGACAGGGATGGTGGGAATTATAGTCTCAAAACATCTGGAGGGCCAAGTTTGAGGAAGCCTGATGTAAACCCATGAAGTAGGTAGAAAGCTCTAACTCCTCTGAAGACCACAGTACCATGCCTCAAATCTATACATTGCCACTAAGAAGTTATGATCCATTGTGTTCAATGGGAGTTGCTCCCTGGTTAAGCAGATGTGAGGATTTCAGTGTGCCAGCTGCACCCTTGAAAATTATCATGAACCTAGCAGGTTATACAAAATGGATTTAGATAAACACGGAGTTGTTTTTCCTCAAGTACTACCTTTCCTGCAATACAACAAAATAGAGGAAAGAGATTTTAAAGTTCAAGTGCCTCAGCTGCCATTTCAGAACTGCTTTGCTTAAACAGAAAAGTTACTTTTTATTTTAACATCCTTTTAGGAGACATCCTCAAGACTCCCGTGGATTGCTCTGATTGCCTCTGTAGATTTTATAACCCTCCTGTTCCCTTGCATGGATTATCAGTTCCAGGCAACACACAGGATAATTGAAATATTATTCTCTTGATTTCCTCATAGCTCCAGGCATAAAAATACTGTATAAGCTATAAAAGGATGGGTTAAATTTAGCACTTCGCAGTATTTTTAACTGTTCTGCAAATACTGCCAATTGCAGTTTCACTATCACTTCAATATGTTGCTATGAGTAAGAAGCATCTGAGGAACTGAAGTCTAGATAGTGGCTTAGAACTGGAGATGCACCAATGGAAGGCAATGGGTAGACTGACTTTTCTTCCCAGCCTCCCCAAAAGCCTCTTCCTATATTCAGAGAGCTGACGGGAGGAAAATTCCATAAAATCAGGCAGATACACCTTCTGCTCTACTCATGAAAGGTGCCTCTGGCTCAAGTTTTTGGAGATCCCCAGTTACTTCACTGTTAAGTAGGCTTCCCTGATGCTCAGAAGAGGCATTTTCCAGAGCTACTGCAGAGAGGGGAGTGTGGGAGTCATTTTCTATCCACACCCTTCAATGGGCACATCTCTGTCTCCAAACATAAGATAGAACACAACAAGTAGTTCTAATGAAATTTCACGGGGAAATAGTCCATAGCAGAACCTTGTAGCTAATATTGTGTGACACCATGGTGAAAAAGATCAGACCCTTCACACGCCAGTTTTAGGATTTTCCTCCCAAGTGGTAAAATTCTTACTGTTTATCAGGTGCAGGTGTGTAATAAAATGACTGTTACTGTCCAGTATTGAGTCCTGTGGATGCCCTATGGGGCTTTTGCATTTAATGATACAGTCAAAGTTCACTGCACTGAGAACCCCTGCCCTTTCTTACACTGGTAGCTGCCTTGTCCAGAATCACACAATCAGTCTCTCTAGCTCAGTATTGTCTACTGACTGGAAGCTCTGAAGGGTTTTGAGAGAGTGTCTTGGAGATGCAAGGGGACCTGGAACCTTTAGTTTGCAAAACAAGAGCTCTGCTTTCCTCTTTCTTACCTGCATCTTGCCAACAGTACTAGCTCTTTTCAGACAAGAGGGGGGTGTTCCCATGTTAGCATTGCTGTTGTATTGCAATGTTTTTCCACTGCTATTAAGACTTCACTTTCTTTTCCCTGTGAACAATATAGACGTAAACAAAAGCTATTACACTATGCTAAGCCTACTTGAGAACCACTTGTTTTTCTTTTCATTTAAGTTGCAGAATTTTAAATATCCACTGAATAATGAACACTTCAGGAACGTAATGCTAGCAATGAAGTGAGAGATACCAACAATTTAAACTTAAAGACATACTGTATTTAGGTATCAGCGGCCTTATTATTCCTGCACCACCACCCCTACACAACTTGTGTAACATTGTAGGCAGGCAGAGCTTTTGAAAAGTTTCACTTGGGTGTATGCGGAGAAAACAGCTTTTCAAAATAATAATCTGTACAATACAGTGCATAGTACATCATCTCAAAACATTATGAAGAGAAAAGAAATGGATTTTCCAAAAGCCCATTTTTTTTTTTTAATGGAACTATTTACAAGTCAAAATTCTTGGTTTTGAGAAACAAAAATACGGTAAAACCTTTTTTTCTTTTATTCACCATTTCGTTGCTATTTTTAATGCAATCTTGGAGAAAGAAGGGAGAATTACTATAGTTTACTTCAGTCGTGTTTTGTGCATTGAC